CCCTTCTTTTCTCCGCCAATTCTCTCCGCCCCCACATTTTCACTCCGACCGAACATTTTTTGTACGTCCCCTCCTAATAAAATGTATATTCTTAGGGAAACTAAAAACTTGATTAAGAAAATCCCAAGTAAAATCAAAATCACCAACAACCCTCGGTCACAAGCTTTGCGCTAGAAGACGATTTATACCAGCAATCCCTGCCTTGTTTCTTTTCCACATCATCACACACAACTTTTGACAGAGGATCTACGCGGCTCTCACCGAAGATGTGCGCTCTATAGTGTGAGAGCGTAACGCTCTCATTAGTGCCGTCGTGCAGGACCTTGCCACCAATCATTTGAGATACATCGTCCACCCATGGAAAAGCATGATACAGGGTTCTCAGACCGCTCTATCCTGACCACACCCAGGAGCTTCGTGACTCGCAAGATGACGACCCCAAGATTCCAACAAAAGATGTTATTCCACTGTCACTCCATGGCTTCCTCCCCAATCGTGGATCCGTACCTATCCTTCAACTCCAATCCGGAACCATGGCTAGACCGGACAGTTGGTATACGGTTTGCATCGCCATGTTTGCTGCGATTGGGACATTCTTCTTCGGATTCGATACCGGGATCGCGTATGTATCTCTGATCATCTTATATACCTCATTACTGACACACGTCCCAGAACGACTACCATCGCACACGAAAGCTGGGTAGAATACATGGGACATCCATCTAATGGCTTGACTGGAGCAGTCGTTTCCGTATACATCGCAGGCGAAGCGGTGGGAGCCCTTCTTCAGACTTTCATCGGGGACCGGATGGGTCGCATTCGCTTCATGCAGATGCTGTGCGTAATCGTTACAATTGGCGTGACCATACAGACCGCTGCGGTAAACATGGGAATGTTCCTGGCCGGCAGAGCTTTGGCTGGTACTGCTGTGGGCGGGATGATCAGTACAGTCCCCATCTACCTCTCRGAGATTGCAGCACCACACCAAAGAGGCATGATTGGTGGTATCTCCGGATGTGGAATCACGTTCGGGACTATGGTTTCGAATTGGGTGGGCTTCGCCTGTGGTGAGGCACCGTATGGTCCTGTGCAGTGGAGATTACCTCTGGCCATACAGATCCCCTGGGGTATCGTGATGTTCATTGGCTTGTCTACGTTCATGCCCGACTCCCCTCGCCAGCTTATACGGAACGGCAGATTGGAACAAGCCCGAGTTGAGTTCAGCAAAATCCGACGGGACTTGCACTCGTATCAAACTGAAGAAGAGTTTGCATTGATGCGGGCACAGATCGAGTTCGAGCAGGACAGGGAGGTGAAGTCGATTAAGGAGATCTTCAGATTGTTCAAGCACAGAGCATTGGCTTCGATAGCTGTGACGACGATGACTTCCTTAACGGGCGTCAACGTTCTTCAGTATTATCAGACCATTCTTTTCAAGGCGCTGGGAATTCCGCGAAAAACAATCTTGGCCCTGGCCGGTGTTTATGGAACCGCGGCATTCATATCCAATGTTCTCACGACTCGATTCCTCCTGGACCAATGGGGACGGCGCAAGATGTTGCTCACCGGAATGACCGGTGTCATACTCATTTTGATCTACTGCGCTGTGATGCAACGCGAATTTCAACACACGGACAACAACGTTGGAAAAGGCTTTGCCGTGCTCGGGATATACCTCTATGCTGTCGTCCAATACGGCACGCTGAACAGCTCGAGCTGGCTGTATAGCGTTGAGATCCTTCCCATGGCATTGAGGAGTAGGATTGGAGGTATATCAGCGGCATGTCACTTCATCGTCAATGTTGGGAGTAAGTTCTGGTCAATGGCTTGATGATTTCAAGAATAACACTGACCTCGCTTGTAGTCACCGAAGCGGGTCCAAGTGCGTTTGCTACCATTCATGAGAACTACTATTATGTGTTCGTGGGTTGCACGACCTTTTTCCTTGTTATTGCATACTTCTACTTTCCCGAAACGACGGGCAAGACGCTGGAAGAAGTCGCTTCGGCCTTTGGAGATCGGGTTCTTACTCTGGCAGAAACCGAACCTGGCGCTGAGTTTGCAGCCTTGGGTGGCAAAGCGACAAGCGCACGTACGGAGATGTTCGAGGAGAAGATTGGGTGAGCAACTGGCCGGTGGCTGGGAACTGGTAATTGGACCGAATTGATGAGTGATGCAGTTTGGCCTTTAAAATTGCGTGTTGGCGTGATGAGAAGCATTGCGAGCTTCCGGCAGCAAGAATCCGACGTTTAATGACAAGTTATGATACTAGAGTTTCGGGGCATGTTAATGACATTCGATGAGCACTATCAATTATAAGACTGTGTTAGCGCATGTTAACTCGTCGCGAACATCAGTCCAACACCATGCTGCTCAGACCGAGCACGCCATATCATAAAATCACCAGCATGTAAGCATATCACCGAGTTCATACTGGTTGGCCGTTCGTTCGAAAGCTAAAGCTTGGTGGATATGGTCCTCTATAAGAGTGCCTAGATTCGAATGATGCGTCTTATTGATCGCATGAGATTAAAGGTAACAGCTAGCACAAAGCTCTTGGGAGCATCATTGCTTTTACATCTCCGCATTCATTGTGAAACTCTTACCAACTCGTGGCATGGATTCGTCCTCCCACATCAACCCCTCTATACCTCCTATCACGCAGTTCATGAGGGACATTCAAACTCATCGTAGTCTGCACTAGCCACTAGTCTTCATCAGATCTCGGCTCGAGCGGTGCTACTCATTCAAACGTAGTCTTGGTGGTCTGCATCGGAATGCTAGAGGAGTTGCTCGATAACTTCCCAAGAGCTTCCTCCTGATGCAGTGATCGATGACTTCCCGTGAGACCCTTCCATTCCCGCCAGCACATGATGAAAGCGAAGATGTAGACTTGACTATGGAGATTTATCCATCAGATGATTCTCAAAGCAAGGATTGGAAAGATGTGGAGACTCACTTGACAACCAACGCAATACCAACGATCGCCCATCCTAGGTAACAGCTCACTCCACTGCAGCTGGTAATGTTGGCTTGAAGGTTGAGGAAAGCCACAGCTCCCCAGAAAGCGATATCTAGACCATTGAGAATGGTGTTTGCTTTGTAGCTTCTCCATCGTTGGAGCTTGTGAAAATACTCAGTGGAGACCTCGTAAGCGATAAAGATGAGAGATTTGGCACCCTATTGAATGTCAATTCGGAATCGGAAGTAGTGGGGTTGTGTATTGCAAAGAGTTATCATACCATGCCGAGGGACATGAAGGTAGATCGAGTCTTCGGCCCCTTCAGGAATAAACGTGGTACTGTGAGGGCAATGACTACCTGTATAAGGACAATCAAAACGATCCAAGTTGCTTTCTTGTATCGAGCGTCGAATAAATTCCAGAAGTTTGAGTTCCAGACGCTCATATTTGCAGTAGACCAGGGACTGATTCGTGTGTGCTCGTTGTCTCGAATGTGGCTTCACCTCGTCGATGGACTAGTCGTACCAATGTGTAGATTGCTGTGAGGGATTGATAGAGTGAGAACGCTGATGCTGCGGCTTTTGGAATCACGCAGAATATTTGAGGCGAAAAGTAAGTCGGGGATAGCGTGATATATGTGAGTATCTTGAATAGCATCATACGTATGCGCATTATCATAGCACGACGCCTGGAACGCGTATCTTCGCAGCAGCTGTTTGTATTGCGTACAACGTCTTGACGCATCGGAAGACCTTGCAATTCCCGACATTCCCAGCAAAAGACGTGTTACAGCCAATCTCGTTGCAGGACAGAGCGGTCCGGATGGAGAGGAAGGTCCTCCGCTGCGTCGAGACGCTGTATGTTGGGAAATCCGAATGCGAATCCGAGCCCGATTCATGCCAAGACATGGAAAGGAAGGTACCGCCATCGCATGCGTTCCGAATGCGCACCACCGTATCACTCGTACAAAGATCGTATCGTATCGTTGCCTCCTGTCCGTTGAGCTTCATTCATCCCAGAAGGAGCTTTGCTGACTCGCCTGTCCATCATTGCCAAGATATCGCCTCAACTTTCACATCCTGTGATGGGTGAGCTGACCATTCTCGCTCTCGGTCCGCATGCCGAGCATCTAACATCAACGTCGACACAGGCACCAATTTATGCGCTGAACTGACTGAAAGAGATGGTTGCAAAGCCGGTCTTCGWCCTTGAGCTAATCGTCCATCTTCGTCCATGCCCATTGCTGCCCATCGGACGACCGCGTCTTGAGAAGCAGTGGACTCGCTTGCGCTCCAGTTCTACCCTCGATACTTGTGTCCAAGCATCGTATCGTAGCATGTCCGGCAGAACCCAAGCAATATCTTCAATGCCTCCCTCGTCCACAGAGTGACACTAAACCATGTGCCACATTCCCCAAACCAAGCAGAGGACGTCGACCTTGATACTCGTCTAGCAGCCAGCTCCTCTAACGCCAACGCTTCCAGACGCCGAACCTCGGGAGAGCAAAGCAAAGCAGATAACATCGAGAGCGATGCCTCCAAAGCGACCTCACCGCGGCGTGATATCGTGATTCTTCCATCGGATGCGACGCACAGTGACGGACAGGGCGTGCAATGGTCTCGTTCCACCATTTCAATGTCATCCTGTGCTGCTCTAAAAAATGAGGGCTCCATCATCTCCACCTCGTTCAACAATAAGATGAGTTGGCGAAGTTGCTCTTTACTTTCCGCCCATGGCCGAAGGACGTTTTTCCGAATGACGGCCCGATTTTGCTGCGCTGCGTGAACCATACAATCTCTCATCGGGACAGTAAAGCCCKAGCAGATGATACGGACTTGCGGACTGAACAGCGGTGCTTTAAATGCGAAGTCTTTCACGACTTTATGATTAGAGACCCAAATCCCATGGAAGTCAATTGCTGGTTGGGAAAAAGTCAAGGTCAACTCCTTCAAAGCTCCGTCCACCAGCAAAGACCCCAAAATGTAGAGCAGTCCCTCAGCCGGTGGCCGTTCAGTCGTCCTGCAAAAATCTCTTATCGAAGCAGGCAGCATGATCGAGATGCTGCTGAATTTCCGCAGTAGGTGCATCTTTTCCTGAAAGTACTCGAATGCGGACCAGATATTTTCAGATGTTATGTTGTCGATACGCCTTGCGATCTTGTCGAGAGGGCAGACAACCATGGATTTATGAAGGGATCGGATCTGGCAAATAACGAATGTTATGCTGTTGTATAGTATCGGATCCGCTTCCTGTCGAATCAGTGTGCAAGTTGCTAGAATTTGCGGGTGGGCTTCCGTGTGGTCGTCGCGTCCACGGTTTAGCAGATGCTCGTATATCATCAAGCGCAACTCCGCAGGGAGCGTCATGAGACCAGTCCGCGGAGGGGTTTCATCTTTGTGCGCGACGGTCTGACATTCATTTGGTGATTGAGTAGAGGCCATGATTGTAGTGTGATGATCAAGTCGATGCAGAACGCTCCAGGCAGATGTTGATTGTGCGATGACGGACAATCAAACTTGGCTATTGCATCCACCGGTAGCCACACACGATTGAGCTCAGCTTTCTTTAAGCTTAGTAAGCTCAGMGAATCGAGAGACCGGCGTTGTCAGAGGACTACGACGAGGTCTCTCTGTGCGGTATTTGCGGTCAAAGAACGTGAACTGGTCTGAATCAGCAGATTCTCGCTGCAAATGAAGCAAGTAGAGGATGTGTTCTCCACTCGATGTGTGTATCTATTAATTGTGCATAGAAGGCAGCAGGGGGCGGGTGGCAGACATGGGCGTGCCAGTGTCCGGAGAATATGTCCGGGCTGAGTGTCATAATGGCTCCGCCGCTCAATGGTCGAGAGATGGTGCCTGACGAGAGGTTTGGGATATACTGATAATCATTCCCTGCACGAGTTGCGGGTTGGGGTGTGTCCGTTACGCGAAGAGCATAAATAATCATCTCCGCCACAGAAAGGACGATATCTCCACTGTCTCTGCCACCCTGCAAGCCTTCCAATCTCGAGATCTCGGCATCGATCAACCTGCCCTTCTTCCATTGTCCTGTCRGATTGCCAAACTCTTTGATTTTCGAAGTTTTGCTTGCTCCAATGGACTTCCGTGCCCACTGCAAGCCGCACTTTGCCGAGCGATGACCAAACAGATCTGATCTGAGCTCGTGCGGGAAGTTCCAGCGCATCACAACCACTGGCCACCACGTCCGTGCCTGATGCTGATGACTACGCTCGAAGATCCCCACAAAGCTACCCGACAAAATCGATAGGCCAGCGCAGTCCCTTTGCCAGTTATACTATGCTGGCGCGTTGGACTTGAGCTAGCGTGATGCTCTTTACCAGAATTCCGCCCTTTGACTGGTGTCAGCCTTGATATTTGTAGAACCACGTGCATCATGACCCAAGATCTCATAGCATCGCCCCAAGATCTTGTAGCGTGACCTGCGATCGGATCTGGAAATGATTGGAGAGGAATGGCTGTTGGGCACTTAGACCTTGCTGGTGCTGTGAACAGGAGCTAGCGCGCCGTATATGTTGGCCTGTGACCGATTTTTCGGGATGAGTATCATGGTAGTGATGGAGGAGTGGCAAATCGTCCGGTGGATGACATTCTCGATGTCTGCGTGGAAGATACCTTGTGCATCTCCGCCTCAACTTTCATTCTCGTCTTTCACAGCTGCTTTGCTTGCGATGATGTCGGAGGTCCTGCCACGGGCGGTGTCACTTGGTGGATGATGGGCGGTCATTGGTCGAGATTGAGGAATGGAAGGGAATGCCATTTGCCATTTTCTTCATGTTTCTTGCCTTTGCGATTTTCTCGCCGCAACTTCCGGCCGCGCTCCAGTCGAGAGTCTTGCAGCTCAACGACATCCACACCACCAACCCCTCATATCCTCACGCCCTTGCTCCTCGCCAAGTGCACGAATCCCGCGCCCTGGAACGCCGCCCACTCGAGCGTATTTCCCACGGCACCGCCCAACGTCCGCACCTCATCGAGCCTTCGATCCAAGAATGCCTCCGTGTCCCGAAACTCGGTGCTCTGGTCTGTCGTCTGGAATATCTCGGCCGCTGCATACACCGCACTCAAGCTCGCACGCTTGGTGTACCAACTCGAATCGACACTGGTATCTCCTGCCAGGAACCAGATCTCATCGCTCAACTTCGCCAGCTCTTTCAGTGAAGTGGGGATGTTCTCCGCCAAGCTCATCAGACCAAGCCCTTGCTGCCAGTGGGGAAGAATGTTGGGCTCGGCATTTGCACGCAGACGAGCAAGTGTCAAGGCACGAACCTTACGTCCAACGCCCTGGTCGGCAGGGAACTGTACACGATCTTTAAGGGCCAGGCGTTGGGTGACGAGATGGTAGAGCACAATGGAGAAGGCACCTTTGGGGAAGAGCGCGGACGTGGAGATGTCGGGATATCCAGCGGAGCGGACACCGAGTGTAAGGGCATCAGCGGTAAAGCCGTGAACAGGGACATGATCCAGAGCGGAGGCTAGGATCTGTGCTTCGGGTTCGCGGTATGGCGGAGGCGAAGCATGCTCGTAGGAGTGGTACAGGGATCGTTGCTGCTGCTGTAGGAGGAGTGGGCGGAGGGCCGGCGGTGTGCGAAGGATAGAGCGGAGGGCCATGCTGGAACCGTACATGATGGGATTCGGTCAAACAGACGTCGATGAYGCTCTCAATGGCAGACGTGAGGTGTGATGGAGCGGAAGTAGAAGCACAAGACGGCGCCGCGATTGGTGGAGAGGAGGCCGAAGCTACTGGGTGCACACATTTAAGAATTGTTTCCTCGCCAATTCTGCTGCTCCTCCGACTGTTTCCCAACTCTAACTTATAACATGCCGCGCCACGGTCGCGGAGACTCGAGGAGAGCTCAGGAGAGCCAGACAAGGAAGCAACGTACGTGTTGACTCTATGAGAGGCCTGCCATTCATGCAAGGCCTCGTCTCGTGCCACGGTGAAGGTTTCTCCACGCGAGAGCCTCCGAACCCGACCATTTCCAAAGAAAGAGCATGAGCTTAAAAGCTGTCTGTATTGCATACTCTGCGAGCCGGACCTACGACGTTCGTATATTAGATCAGGGTACTGAGGTTGGTATCAACTACGCAATAAGGTATGCATGCTCATTCGACCTTGCGTGGAAGCACGACTTTGCAGTCTCTCAGACAAGCAACCTATGGGCCATGTCGGAACATTGTCTTCTCAGCTTCCTCTTCCACCCAGAGTTCACGGGCTTCCCTCTATGATCATCTCCTCTCTTACCTCTCCACTTCACTACCATTCACATCTCCTCACTCCAATTCACACGTTGCTTTTCGCCTTGTTTCAAGACATACAAGATACAAGATATTGGGAGGATGAAAAGGCTCTCTTCATTCACTCTCCACAACTCAACCGTTAGATCGGTGGTGGGAGGTACAGAACATGAGTTTGTCGAGGTATTCCAACAGAGCAATCTCCACCGGGGTTGCCCGCGCGATATGACTGAATACAGTATCTCGGTTCTGGTCTCGCCTCGAATCGCTGCAAAGTGATGCTCAGATGGCAAAGTTAACAAAGGGCATGAAATATGTTGACCATACCGTCACCCTGAACTCGGAGATCGCCCGCCTCCAACTCATTCACTGCAACACCAACCCCGCCCAAACACGACCGATATCCTAGCGAACCAATCAATCACAATGGCCATGTCACTATTGTCCTTGTCGTCTTACTGCGAGCAGTCGCTCCTCATCAGCACGATACAATTGGCGGTACAGCATCCGCTAAATGGCCACTGCAGTGGCGAAAGTGAGGCCGGGATATCATGATGGAGTTCGACGAGGAGACCGCTCCCGAGGACCGCATACATTCCGACCAGACTGTAAGGAAGCTCGTGGCTCGGTCGCAAACTCCCAGCCGCTGTCTGCCAACCTGGTCAGCACAGCCTCATTCCGCTTCCTGGATTTAGCCACTGAGCTTCGCCTCGCCATCTACGATGAGCTCCTGGAGCGAAAAGACCCCAACAGCCCGAAGCGCCTATTCCCGCAAATCCTAGCGACAAGCAAAGAGATCTGTGGCGAAGCTAGACCAGTGCTGTACACCAAACCAACCTCCGCCTCACAATTGTAGCGACGGCACTGAAGTCCCGTGATTATATCACAGATACTACACTCCATATTGGCAGATGTCAAACACCGATTCTCGCATCTTCCAGCACCGACGCCGTCACTCCCGCGTGGGGACTATACAACAGCCTCCCTCCAGTGCTCAGCAAGATCTCAAACGCGACGTTGCAGATCGTCCTCCGAGCCAATCGTGACAAAGGGCTTCTAAAGATGCAGCTCATGGCAGAACAATTCAATCAAGTGCATCAGATTCTCGCAGCTTTGTCGGCGCTGTGGCAAGTCTCTGGCGCTTTTCGAACCCTGAATGTTGAGTTCCTCGACGATACTGGGAGCATCCAAGCTCCGCCGTCGCCTTGTCTCCACACCACATTTCTTGCAGCCAAGGAGATGGATACGATCGAGCTCAGGCGTTTACTTCGCCCGCTTTGTGGACTTGGGAAGAACGTTGTCGTTCACGTAAGCGCGCTACCTCTTGCTGTTGCAGCATACATCACGACTCGCGAAGTGCTTTTTGTGCCTGCTGAGCATCCGTTCAAAACATACGCCTCTCTCGCCGGTCGCGTTGATGCAGCTATTTCGAAAGTCAGAGATGCTGGACTCTGCTGTACACGAGTTGATTCTACAGACAACAAGCCTTGTGGTATCCGAAGCTTGGAGAAGAAGCTGTTGATCGTAAGAGAGAAGATCATAATTTGTGACATTGGGTCAAGGCATGCCGAAGAAGAGTTGGAAATGGATTTCGACGCTTTGAGTGGGTTTCTGGAATCGAGGAAGGTGCGGGATCTGGTTGAGATGGCAGATGGCTTGCTTCTGTGCCTTGGAGAGTCATTTGATGATTGTGAGTAGAAAGCAACGCTCGGGGAACGAAGAAATGGACGCGACCGAGCAGCTGACTTGCGTTGGAAAGTCGGCATCACTGTGAAGACTGGTGGAGATTGTGCTTCGCAAACTTTTCGATCTTGGAGATAGCTTGCAGACGTCCGCTGAGGTTGGAATGCGATTTTGCGCAGCTTTGATTGGAAGTTCATGCACACTGTCAGATGAAGGAGCTATGATGTTGCTGGACACTAGTGTGCAGGCCAGTGAGAGCACTACATCTACGCTCCAACTATGTTGTTTCTCTCGTATACTTCATGTAGTGAACTTCCTGCCTCTGTCGATTTCTGCACTGTGAAGAAAATGCTGCCGTGAATACGTGCGCTCCAGGGCGCCTTGATGGGTGATGAAAGTGCATGCGCAGCCGCCACCTGAGGTTTCGCTTGGAAAGAGTGGCTACGCATGCAGCGCAGGATGAAAGAAATGGTTGGGGCGATTAGCCCACTGGGYGGTATTGCAGCGCGCAGCGACGAATCCAAAATCCGACAGAGCCAGGAAGCGAGCGAACATTGTGGTGCTGCCACCGGCGATGAAAGCGGTGGCAGGTTTGAAGCTGTACTCCCAGACTTGAGAAAGGGAATCACTCGTCCAGTGTAACGCTCGCGAGTAGCAGTTACACAAACAGATGGCGACAACAAAGTGAAGGTCGCCAAGCACAGCAGCGCTGAAGCCAACAATATCAGTAGCAGCTAGGTGGTATACAATCTGCATGGCAGCGCAAAAAGGAACAAGTGCAGCGTCGCATCCTGCGAGTGAGGGGGACGCGTAGCTTAGAGGCCTGCAATTTCGACAAGGCTGCCGGCCAATCTAGGCGAGAACAGCATGCAAAGGGCGTAGGTCCGCTTTCGATTCAGTCCCATTTGAATTCGTAGGCGGTCTGCCATGTTGCTCTCTGGTCCGAAATTAAGTATTCGATGGATTTAAATATCCGACTTGCTGAAGTGCAGTGCTTGTGGTCTCGTCTACCGAGTGGTGTGGATGCGATCGATTCGAAGCCTCATGCCGGCTCTTGTGAAGACAAGACATCAAAAGCAAGTGCCGATTGTCGTGAAAGTGCTCCCTCGCATCAGCCTTCCAGTCGACTCATCAATGCGCAAACTCGATTGCCAATTTCCGCCATCGTTGTATCGGCCGCCGCAAAATTTGACGCCCAGGATCGACAGCGCTGCACGTGTTCGTGCAGATGCCGGGTGAGTCCCAAGACCTCATACAGCCGAGTGCGAACAAGATGTCGGAGTTGTGCAGCTTTTTCGCTCGAGCAGACATTGTATTGGACGTTTGGGTTCGTCGCGTTCAGTGTGGGTATCTCGTACAAATGATTGGAGTTGTAAGACGAACTAGAGCCACTGCTGCTCGTGTGCGTGAGCATCGGTGGACGCCTCACATGCTCGCTTGTATTGATCGGGGTGTCGGTGACACAGGCACACTCCAAGAGGTCTAGCACGCTTTCAAGAACAACGCCAACAAGCAGAAGAGCGCGAGGTCGCTCAAAAAGGCAGAGTTCACATCGGACCATGGCCAGTATCTGTATCCTGATGTCCTGTTCCAGCTCCATGATCTGATCCAGCTCCGATGTTGACACTCCGGAATTATTGTCCTTCAAATCCGATAGTCTTTGTAGAATGTCGCTGTAACAAGAGCAGAATGCGGGCACATGCGTATTTGTCGCGGACGTGGTTGGAGGGGTATCGGTGGGTGTCAGACCTGCAGACATCACTGGCAGCAAAATCCTTTGGCCATTGTCGAGATTGCTGTACACTGGTCTCAACAGCATCGTTGAAAATGGATACTCTGTGTCTTGGGCGGATTCAGGTGAAGATCCCACATGACTGGCCAGACCATTGTTACTTGTGCTGTGGACTAAAGGAGGTGGATTTGTGTCAATATTGAATGAGCCGAGATCATAACCCGTGTAAGCACCTCCAAAGTTGGCATGCTGAACATGATCGAGACGCGAGGCAACCTGCGCCGACCTTGAAGAATCGGGAGCGGGAAAGGCCGGCACGCTCGCATCGTGATCAAATCCTGCCTGCCAAGTAGGGTAGAAAGGATACTCGCTGGAGCCTATGTTGGCGGGAGCCATTTGTTGCTGAGCGAATGGAGAGATGGACTCCAAGGGAAGGCTGTTCGAAAACGCRCCAAAGTTACCACTCATGTGAGATGTGCTCATCGGATGTCCTGTCTCGTCCGGCGAGAGGTTGGTGTACGGTCCCGCAGAGGCCGTCGACGAGGACGCGGCACGAGGTCTGCTTGTGGTTCCTCGAGGCCGTCCGAGACGGCGTTTATTGCTGTACACGCAGTCGCGGCCATGGTGTAGACATCGGCGGCAAGCTGGGCGGTCCCGTGAGCAACGAACTTTGGCATCGAGGCACACGTCGCAAGTCGATCGTACCCTTATGGGCTGGGCGGGGGCTGTGCTATTGCTCATGGTGGAAGTAAGAACTAGAAGGTTTGCTAGAAGGTTTGCGACTTGCAAGGAGCCACGATTTCCAGATAGGCTCGCGGACGGAAGACGAAGGGTAGACGGGAACCTGGACCACCCGCTCGATGCAACCATGAACCTTAAGCAATAATGCCAACAGAACCGATCATCGCGTGCAAGATTGTCGGCCGGCGGCGGTCATATCTCATCATCTGGTCGACAGCTGAAGCAAACGAGGCGTGTTAACTTACAAGCTGCAGAAAGCTTCCATGTCGTTGAGGCTTACCCTGCTGGCATTGGTTGGCCGTCTCGATCATGGAGTTCAGTGTGTTTAAGCGACATCGGCGTGGTGATGTCGCGAATGTTTTGACTGCGGGATCAGGCTGCGATCAACGAGTAAACATGGAGCTGGTCCCACCTCACTTTCCACGAGGCCTGTCGAGGTTGACGACCCTAGTTCACCCGGCATTCGACCGAGTCTGGATTGTCTCAGAGTGCAGTTCGGCGAATCTGAGGCTCGCCAGGGATGTTGCATTGGCGGTAAGGCTAGGATGGTGCTGCAGATGCCCGCCCGTGACAGCACAGGGTAGTGTGGCATTGCCCTCGTCATTCTCGTGTTCGAAGCCGACGCCGCCTTGCGCAGCCCGCCGTCGAATACCGGTAGGGCTACTTTTGTGGCCCCATTCGGCGGGGTGAGGAAAGTCTATTAGAGTATCCAGCGCTAGATCACAATCCGCTGCTGGTGAGAGGCTAGGAGTTGGTGGTGGGAGATGAGCATCGAGATGCAGTGTAGCGTAGGCGGTTGGTAGTAGGTCACCTGCGGGTCATCGCTTGACGATAGACCGTGGACCGTCGCTGGTAGATTGGCGACCGGCGTCATGTGCCATCCTGGTATAGGTGGTAATGTGCATGTTGCTAGAACGGGACTATGGGAAGCCACGGGTGATCTGGTTCCGGTAGCATGCAAGGCTGTTACATCAGCCACCGCGGAGGTGATGCACCAAGTCATCTCAGGTCGTGTCGTGTCGTGGGATATGAGCAATGAGAATTCAGCGGGCTGCATCATCATTGACGCTTGATCGCTGTTGCAATGGGGTAGTCGCGGGGTCAATTGCGTAGTGGCGATCTTGGGTCAGCGAGATGTGATTGCAGCCCGATGGATGAGGAGGAGGGAGCGGCAGCACCCACGACGGCCTAGGTATCCCCTACAAATGTAGCGGACTGCAACAGATCACCGACCTCATTGAGCGAGGCTGCTTGAGCCTGCTCCATGGCTCATTCAAGTCTGTCTTGGCGTGTTTGCCGGATGTTCAATTGCCATGATATCCCGACGAGACGTTGAGACGTCGAGAGGGCAGAGGAGAAAGGGTCGGGCAGTGTGAAGTTGGTCGGCCCGTCACGTGGCTCGCTTCGTGTTTCGCGATTTGCCTGAAATTCGGCAACGCGTCCGTCTGTCGCGACTTGTTGGTGGCAACCTAACATCCATCTTTCACGACACCTCTTTCACCATCCGGCCTGGGTTGTCCCCACCGCCGCCACCGCCATGGATAAGGAGAATGCTGCGCCGCTCGTCAAAGTGCGCGGACGTCTCTACGGCGGCACGCCACAGTCGGCAGATAAATTGATCAAGCCTTTCAAGTGTCCCGGGACCAACACGCCGACAAGAGCATCGGAGAAGCCCACTCGAAAGCGCCGCAAGGTGGACTATTCTGGAGGCGACGGTAGTGTTGAGGAAGGGGACAAACCGTACACCAACGAGGACCGGCTCGCGCTCTCCACTCGCGACGCCAATCGTTTTCCGGTGTTCCCGCCCAAGGAYAGGAGCGCGGCCTTTCGGGCGCGGTTCATAGTGCCTTTCCAGAACAAGGACACGACCTCATACCAGTCAAAGCGACCACCGCCATGTTTAGGACTGCGTCGCGGCCTAGCAATGGTGGCGGGGCCGCTGCACGATCCATGTGATGAGTTCGCCATTGTTCTCTACGATCCGACTGTGGATGGTAAGGAGCCGCCCAAGACATTGGAAGATGGCAGCGCAGATGTACCCGCCAGCACGCCAAAGATGAACGAGCCCATTATGCACAAGAGCTTGGCAGAGATCCTGGGGATCAAGAAGGAAGTTGACACCGAGCGTCCCAAGGTACCGGTTGTCATTGACCCGGTACTTGCAARGGTGCTTCGCCCGCATCAAGTCGAAGGCGTCAAGTTCATGTACCGTTGTACGACTGGTCTGATTGATGAAAACGCTCAAGGCTGCATCATGGCCGATGAAATGGGCTTGGGCAAGACGCTACAATGTATTGCCCTCATGTGGACTCTACTCAAACAATCCCCCGAGGGAAACAAGGGCACGATCGAAAAGTGCGTRATTGCATGTCCTTCGAGCTTGGTCCGCAACTGGGCCAATGAACTCGTCAAGTGGCTGGGTAAGGATGCACCCAATGCTTTTGCCGTGGACGGCAAAGAGACGAAGAGCGTAATAGAGCAGCAGATGAGAAGCTGGGCCAGTGCGACCGGCCGCGCCGTGACCAGGCCTGTGCTCATCGTGTCGTACGAGACCTTGCGAATGTACGTCGACATCTTGCGCACGCCCATCGGGCTCATGCTTTGCGACGAAGGCCATCGTCTGAAGAATGGCGAAAGTCAAACGTACGAGGCCTTGAATCGACTAGAGGTCCGCAAGCGAGTCATTCTCTCCGGAACGCCCATCCAGAATGATCTTTCCGAATACTTTGCCCTGCTTTCATTCGCCAATCCAGGTTATCTCGGAACGCGGCTAGATTTCAGGAAGAAATTCGAATTGCCAATCATGCGTGGACGTGATGCATCTGGAACGGATGCGGACCAGCTCAAGGGCAACGAAAGATTGAAAGAGCTTCTCCTGCTGGTGAACAAGTTCATCATCCGACGCACCAACGACATCCTCTCAAAGTACCTGCCGGTAAAGTACGAACACGTTGTGTTCTGCAACCTGGCACCATTCCAACTCGATCTATACAACTACTTCGTCAAGTCACCAGAGATTCAGAGTTTGCTTCGTGGCAAGGGTAGTCAACCTCTCAAAGCGATTGGGCTGCTCAAGAAGCTCTGTAATCATCCGGATCTGCTCAATCTTCCCGAAGACCTGCCAGGTTGCGAAAAGCATTTCCCGGACGACTATGTGCCGAAGGATCTGCGTGGTCGAGACCGAGACATCAAGCCATGGTATTCTGGCAAGATGCAAGTCCTTGACCGCATGCTCGCGCGCATCCGCAAAGAAACCAATGACAAGATTGTGCTCATCTCGAACTATACACAAACACTAGACGTGTTTGAAAGGCTTTGCAAGAACCGCAACTATGGCTGTCTGCGTCTGGACGGCACCATGGTTGTGAACAAACGCCAGAAGTTGGTCGACAAGTTCAACGACCCCGATGGCAACGAGTTTGTGTTCCTTCTCTCTTCCAAGGCTGGAGGTTGCGGTCTGAACCTGATCGGCGCCAATCGCTTGGTCTTGTTTGATCCTGACTGGAACCCTGCCGCCGATCAGCAAGCTTTGGCCCGTGTATGGCGTGATGGCCAGAAGAAGGACTGCTTCGTCTACCGCTTCATCGCGACTGGCACAATCGAGGAAAAGGTCTTTCAGCGGCAGTCACACAAACAGTCGCTCTCATCTTGTGTTGTCGATGCCGCGGAAGATGTCGAGCGTCACTTCACTCTCGACTCCCTACGCGAGCTGTTCCAGTACAGAGCCGGTACAACCAGCGATACGCATGATACATTCAAGTGCAAGCGATGCAAGCAGGGGAGGCAGTTCATCAAAGCACCTGCCATGCTCTACGGAGACACCAGCACTTGGAATCACTTCATCAATGAGGGCAAGGACGGTCCTCTGTGCAGGATTGAAGATCAGTTGTTGAGGCAAGAGATCGAAGAGAAGGATGTCAGCGCCGTGTTTCAGTATATCAGTCATTAGAGAGAGAGCGGGGAATTGGTTTGGACCAATCTTACGAATTACGATGCGCGAATGATGTATAGAATAGGTTGACTGGAGGCGCGGAGTGCCACGAAGGAGAGCAAGTGCTGCATCGCATGCYGCTTGGAAGCAGTCTCGCTGCCGACACTCGTTTCCACATGTTCTCAGTCATCGTATCCAAGGAACTCGTGATTGCCGACGTGCATGTAAGAAGCATTCCCCTGCGCGACAGTCATCACAAAGTATGATCTTGCATGGAATCAGTTCTCAAGCAATGGCTGTTGGTGCGCATACGAGGGACTTTCAAATCGAGGGATTCCGACGACCAAGCGAGGCGCAGAGTGAAAGGCCAGACGAGATCATGTTTTGGTGGAACGGTCTCTTTGCACCGGCGACATGAGTTCGGCCGACGAAGCATTTCTCAAAGAAAACGAAATGAGTGATCATGCTACAATCCTCGTTCTAAGCAGCCCTACACTCCAAATTGCGGGATCGATTGACAGTCGGCATTGTTATGAAGGGCCATATTCACCACGATGAGTGCAGCCTCTCTTTCTCTCCTACTGGCTTTCCCCCTCTTAACGTAGTTGCTTTACGCCACGAACTTTACGGTGCTGCCCTGTGAGCCAAGGTTGCTAGTCGAGATGAGGCACGTTGACCATACATGCATCATGAAAGAATCGCCCGAACCCCTTGAAGATGTGAAGCTGCTTATTACTTTCCCATCCCGGGAACTCCACCTGACAAACAGCTTTCGCCTTCTCAAAAGCAGCAACGCTTCAAATCTCGCCACAATCGACTCAACGGATGGGATGCTCTCGACTTAAAGTCTCAAACGCTCCGGTGTCTTGGATCAAACCCGCCAAGCAAATATCCGCGATGGAAGGGAGAGCTCCATGGCAGAACTTCCCCATTCGACTGTCACCCTCGAGTCTTGATTCGAAACCTTTAATGGCGGTGGTGAATCAGTGCGTCTGCCAGTCTTGCCATTGTCTTGGGGAGAAGCCAGCGTTTGTGGTGAGGTAATGGTGGACTCTGGGGAGGATTAGTGGATGCTTGAGAGGGAAGCCGATGAGATTCTGAGACGAGATGGATTGTGATGATTTATGGGGTCTGAGATTGCAATTGATGATAATGAGCGTACCCGGACTCAATCTAGAGGGTTTGAGGGGGGGAGGGATGGTGTTGGACGGATCTCTTTGAGGTACTCTAGCATTGCAAGGGATTGCTGGCATGAGGGTTCAGCGATCGTTACTGTGACCGACGAAGTTCTGATGAATCTGGTGTATCTCATCGCCACCAATGGCTCATCTTGCGATACACTCACTGTCAGAGGCTCTTTGCCATCCTGACCGTCTATCATCATGGCGGGTGCACTTTCCACCGGACTGACCTTTCGAAACTCATCGCGAGGTTGCTCTCCAGCATCAAGATCGATCGGGATCTCTTTGTACATGATTCTTTTGAGATTCATCGCCTTGAGATAGATTAAAACGGGCTAAGACAATGCTCTTCGGTGTACGTACTACGCGAAGCCTATATGTGGCTTGTGAGAGCCAAAAGCCGTACGTTTCGATCTTCCCCGCCATTATTCCTGCTCAAATGATATGGTGCTGATGCACTGGACGGTTTCTGGTAAGGAATAGTGAGTTGTGGTCGTGAAAGCACCATCACATCAGATCGGGCCTTCGGCTCAGTGAAAGTGTAACCTGTGAGACGGCATATGCTTGAAGCTGGCAGAGCACCGCCCCAGGAAAGACCGTAYATGTTATAACCTACTCTGTGATCCCCATACTCGTTCTGTCTGTGGTGGCCCGGATAAACAGGCTTGTTCCGCTTGCAGTTGATCAAGCACTTCGCGCAAAAAGACCTTTCCCTTGAAGACGGGATTAGATGCGCTGCGATGATGTTAACGCGGAGTGTAATTCCCAATGTATTAAACCCTTACGTATTGATGGCTTCCAATCCCTCAAGATTTATGAAGTAGCGTAGCCGATGCTACTACACTACCACAACCCTAACCCTAAGCATGACTCTGCCGACTTTCGCACGGCTCTGGAAAGGCATTCTCCGGCATATCACTTATCACCGTGCATGTTCTCGACATCCGGTATAAGCGGAGAGTCGACAATAGGAAGCACATCATTTTCCACGGCATGTAGAGGAGTGCCWTTCTCCACGGGATCAAGAGGAGTGACCTTCTTCACAATCCTGGCGGGCTGTCCCATAGCCACGCTCCAAGGCGGAATACTTTATCGTCCCTTCATACGGGTCACACCACCGTACATGGCTTAAATGCCTTGCAGCCGCCAACCGGGCTGGTCTTTCTCAGTCTTGGCCATGGTAGGAAGGTTTCAAAGCAGTGAGTTTTCAAACGGGGATATATAGGATTTCAAGACTTCCGGACATGATGGAAGGTTGCGTGGATCACGAGAGGTGCCCAGGTGAGGTGCCCGGGTGATGTTGAGGACGGAACATCCTGGGGAAGCTGTATATGTATTTTGCTACCGTAAGATGGGATGGATGAACATCGCCTGATTGACCAGGACTCCACTCGGAGGCAGCAATGGATTGTGTCGGTAGGGCCCGCTCAGGAAGTGCGCCGCAGGTCAGCGCGATTTCATATCGCAAACCGATGCATTCCGCCCTTTTGCTATCGATGGAGGAGAGATCGTTGTGACGGGCATGTCCAATAGTGAAGTTGCCGCTGACTCAGCCGTTCGCATGCTGATTGGTCTTCAGAGCTCCAAATTTACGTCGGAAACAATCATCTCCCTACACAATCTTGACAAGATTGACAAAGTGTCATATATGATATGACATCTGTGGTATAGATTGTAGTTGCTAGGAGTGAAAGCTGTGACGAGTCTCACCTGTGTCAATTTCTTCGATGCAGGAAGGGGCCCGATTCTGAAGGAGAAGGAGAAGGGAAACAATCGCACCGTCAACGCCGCTGGCCGAGGTCTTAGTCAGTCCCATTGTTTATACTCCTGCGCCCGTCTCAGGGCCATCACTGATTTATTATGGTTGTCCGGAAAGTTGGCGTTTGAGCTACCAAGGCCGCTTCGGTCCGGTAATAGTGCTGTCACTAATATTAGCTAGTAAGCAGCATTTCAGAGCCCTATATAGCAATATTATCGTTTTTATGTTCATTTCAGAAGGTTTACTAAGGCTCTAAGGGCTCTACCTTAACCTTTACTACATCTGCTTACTATTAGCTACATCTAGTAACCTATATATATAAGAGCGTAAGTATTATCCTTTTATCTTATCCTTYTTATCCTTCTTATCCTTATTATTATGTCCTTACGCTATATAAAACACTACTAGATTACGGATTAAACTGTCGCTTTACGGAGCCTATTATTCTATACCTACTATCCTTAATCCTTTACTAATCTTGCTACCTTCGAGTACGTAATAAATAGCGTTTCGAACGTATATAATAAGAAGCCGTCCGCTCGTACGAAGGATAGTTTAACGTAGAAGTTACACCTATATTATCGCTGTCGTTAAGATATAGGGAGGTGTTAAATCCTTGCTTCGTTTTTATAACGTAGGGTATGTTCTAAGGTACTGTCTGTTCTCTCGAAGTGAAGGTAAAGGTTTTAATAGTATATGTAAATACAATAAATTAAGTTGAGCACGAGGCTCCTATCTACTATAGACTACTATCTACTATATACCTATCCCTAAGCTCGTGCTAAGCCTAAGCAGTTCGAGTAAGCTAATCGCCTCTGCTTACTCTGCTTACCTTAATTACTCTAATTACTCTAATCGTCCTAATTACTCTAATTATTCTAATTATCCTAATTACTCTAATCCTTCTTCGCCTAAAATAAGTAGCTGTAGTTCCCTACGGGTCGAACCGTAACACTATCCCCCTTCTAGTCTAGCTTCGCCCCGAAGCTTATATAGGTCGGGACCTCTACCGTTATCTTCTCTTAGCAAGATGGCTTCCTTTGCTTCTAAAACACGTCGTCGCCGTATCGCTAGAATACTCGAAAACCCTTATTTCCCCCCGACGCCTTACGACTATTGCTACTCCCGTAGTCGCTCTTATATCTTCGTGTCCGATTTCTCTATTATAGCTTGTAGCGAGTGTACTCGACTCGGCCGTCCTTACGTTACCTCGAGTATCGACCGCCTAGACGCCGTAGTCGACAAGATCTCGGCTAAGATCGCATCCGACGAGTAGGAGCTCGCTAGGACTATAGACGAGATAGGTGCGCTCCTAGAAAGGATCTAAGAACTCCGTCGTCGTATTGCTCGAAACAAGACTATTCGTTAGGCGAACAATAATAAGCTAGACGAAGACATTCGCTACTTAGTGGAGTCCGAATCTAACGCTGCCCTAAACGAAGGCTTATCCGAGAGTGTCGCTATTAATAGTTCGCTTCGCGGGATAGACTTCCCCGAAGTCTTCGACTAGTCCTTCGAACCTCCGTCCGTTTAAGAATCTTCCTCGTACGTTCTTTCTCCTTCGTCGTTTTCTTTCCGTGCTAATCTCTTTCCTTTTAGACTAACGAACTAAGAGACCGCGGTTCGTTAACTTCGTTCGCTAAGATCTACCTAAGTGGATTTCGAGAAGAAACTCTCGCATTCCTAGTATATCTCCTTACGCGATATAAAACTAAATTCTTCGCGTCTAACTTTGTTCCTATCCTTATAGTTACTAGCAATGTGTCCTTAGTTACTATATGCATAACAAGTAGGGTTCTATCCCGCCTTCTTATATCGACTACCTCGCTCCGTCGCATCGAGCTCTATCGGTCTTAGTCTATAGGGATCGTCGCCTCTAGCCTTAAAGCTCCCTTTTCCGCCTCTTACGGGTCTCTAAAATCTAGGCTACACGAATCGGTCGTGCCGCAGCTCCTAGAGTCTCTCGTCGATTTCCTTTGCTAACTTAACTATTGCTCTAAGCGTGGTTAGGCTGGAGTTTCGGGATAGTTCTAATTTAACTATGTCCTTAAGTCCGAGGTAGAACTAGGAACGAAGAGCCGCATCGTTCTACTCGAGATCGGCGGCATATCCTTAGAACTCTAAGGCGTACACGGCTACAGAGGTGACTTGTCGGAGTTAGCGGATATAGCGATCGGCGTATACTTCTTCGTTTAGTATCCCGTATAGATTATTAAGTTTCGTCTTAAATTCCTCGTAGTCGTAGAAGATTTTTCTAGTCTCCGTCTTAGGTGTGTTATCCTCGTCCTAGTTATTAAGCCAGTCCTTAAGATATAGTCTAAACCCTCGAGCGGCTCTTCCTCTTAGGAAGGATGCGGCGTATAAGACCTTACTAGCCTCGCTATTAAACTAGTAGGTATTAAAGTAGAGGTAAAGCTGAACCTACAGCTAAAAGGCCTCTAATCGTCCTAGTGTGCCGTCGAACGTCTCCGGCGTCGACACCTTTAGTCCCCTAGTTACCTCCGGCATACTTATCGAGCTTGCTAGGGTTATTGTTCGTTTTCCGCTTCCTATTATAATCGACATTGCGCTAAGTCGTTCCGTAATCCCTATAGATTGTGCTTAACGTGTAGGGCTCCGGGTTTAATCTCTTATAGACATGTATAGTAGGCCCTTAGGTAGTGCTTAAAGTTGTTAAATCCTTACTTCGTTTTTACAACGCAGGGTATATTCTAAGGTACTGTCTGTTCTCTCGAAGTAAAGGTAAAGGTTTTAACAGTATATGTGAATATAATAAATTAAGTTAAGCACGAGGCTCCTATCTACTATAGACTACTATCTACTATATACCTATCCCTAAGCTCGTACTAAGCCTAAGCAGTTCGAGTAAGCTAATCGCCTCTACTTACTCTACTTACCTTAATTACTCTAATTACTCTAATCGTCCTAATCACTCTAATTATTCTAATTATCCTAATTACTCTAATCCTTCTTCGCCTAAAATAAGTAGCTGTAGTTCCTTACGGGTCGAACCGTAACAGGAGGGCGCGGCGGTAGCCTAAGGGGATCCGTAAAGTCGAATATTACGAAGCTCCTTATAATACGGCCCTTATTATAATACGGAGGTTTCGTAGCCCTACTATAAAGGAGCCTTTTACGGTAGAGGTAAAACGATATATTATTAATTCTATAGCGGATAAAAATGAGCTATATTACTATACGCTAGAGTATATAGACGTACGCTCCGCTAACTTAGTGTTAAAGACCGCTATCGAGTCCCTTATATAAGCTAACCGCTTAAACGTTATAGCCGTGCTTTACGTAGTTAAAAGCGGCCCTCTTTCGGATGTATTTAGCACGATAGGCGGTAAGGTAGTTAAGGCCGGAACAGTCGCTTAGTCGAAGAAGAAGCGTAATATACGTAAGGCTAGCATAGCGTAGCGTAATAGCGTAAGGTTATAACTAGACGATTTAGACCGTAATTTAGAGGAGTTAACGGATAGCGTAGATAATGTACTACTACGATATAAATTAGTGTAGCCTTAAGTCGATAGCGAGAAGTAGGAGGGCATCGTTTTTTAGACCTTATAGTAGTAGCGTCTATTAAATAACAGTAAGGCTAGTAATGTACGTACTTAAAGGATAAAGGAAGAGTAGAGCTATACTAGCTCTTAGGGTTAGTGTTTAGGTAATAGCTAATTTAACATTAGCTCTTCTTACTTAACGGTACTTATAAAACTACTAACCTTAATTAGACGCTCTTTACCGTATACGTTCGTAATTACCTTAGTAGCTAGCTACCTATAGGCTATCTTATGCTCTAAACATAGAAAGTAAAGCTTATCTAATCCGGCCTCCGCGTACTTAAAAGATAGTATCTAAACTAGAGCCTTAGATAGCTATTATAGACGACTCTATAGCGGAGTAGCGAGCTCTTAACTTAACCTTTAAGGGCGACCGGATACAGCTATACCTCTATTAACGACATACGAAAGAGACCTTTCTTAGGTTATTCCCTAAGCTTTAATATCTAAAGGTAGTAAAGCAATTTTATTATGCTATCTACTACGTAAGGAACGTAACTAAGGTAGCCGCGGATAATATAGCGATCGTATAGCTACTAAAGGACAACCGCCGCCTTATAGCCGTAGAGCGTAATAAGCTAATTACGTACGTTTAAAAGAACTAGAGCGGTAACTCCTTAGTTAAGTAGTCTACCTAGGCTCGCCTTACTAATCCTCTATTAATTTAGATAAGGACAACTTTACCTCTCGAAGGATACTATAATGCTATTAAGTACGGCCGTAAAACAACGATTATTTAGTATAACCTATACGGAACGATTATTAAGCTTTTAATCGTAGATGCTCGGTTACTATATAAGGCCTATCTATAGACATTTAGGCTTAGCAAACGCACTTATTATTAGATTATTAAGGAGCTAGAGTTATTCGAAAAGCTATCGCCAGCTTATTAAGACTACCTCCGTAAATAAGTGGATATTACCTATAATAATAAGGCTAAGGCGAAGGTAATGTATAGCGGTGTTATGTACTAGTACGATAGAACTACTCCTTTACGCTATAATTGCCTTATATAGTTTTAACACCGCCTACCGTATAATTACATCCTTCGTAATTACCTGTTTAATATGTATACTATTACTAAGCCGTAGTAGCGGATGTACGTATAGCTCTACATACCCCTTAACTCTTAGAAAGTCGCTTAATATTAGAGCGATTCGGATACTAATTAACTCTCGCTAGAGGGCTWTAATCCGGAGGGTATCGTCGTATAATAGTAAGAGCCGCTCCTTCGTAACCTACGTATGCATTATAAGGAGGCTATAGAGGTAATAAACGGTTAATACTAGCGTATTAAGGATAATAAGAGCATTAAGGACGACGTTCTAAGGGAATAGGTCCTTATAGCCTACGTACGGCGGTATAAGGATATAGTTGCTACCCTTAACTCCTTCGGTATTAACTTATTTAATACTAGTACGGCCATTTACTTTATAGGCGAAATAGAGCGCATTTAGACGAATAATAGCGACAGGCCGGCATTACTAATAACACCTTTACGGCCGCTAGTTATTACTATACCTAACACGTTACTAGAGCCTCGTTTAGTAGCGACTCGATAGTAGTAGCGTATAACTATTTTATTACTAATCCGCTAGCCTATCTTTAACAACATTATTAACTTATCCTTAGATATAGGCTTACTAACTCTACGGCTAAACCGCTATTAATTCGAACCTCCGTAGTTATTAGAGCTACCGTAATTATTACTACCGAGTTATAACTACCGTCGAATCGCTCCGCTCCGCTAGCGTAAGGATGTATAAACCGTAGAGCCGTTCGATATTAATAAGTTTATCTATCTACCTAGCACTAACTACCCTACTAGCGACACGTTTAATACGCCGGCTAGCTACAACTTAAGAGATTAGAATAACTAGCTGTTTAATTAAGGGCTACTACCTAATAGCGATAACAACGATAGTAAGCTTAAACAGGATATAGAACTACCGGATAATAAGGTAGTAGAGCGATAGATACGTAGCCGGCGTACATAGACGGATAGAGGCTTACTACTATTAACACTAACAGCGAAAAGGCGATAGTAACTTAGTACACCTTTTGAAATGAATATAAAATAACGATATTGCCATACAGAGCTCTGAAATGACGCTTACTACCAAATATTGGTGACAGCAACATTACCGGACCGCACCGGCCTTGGTAGGTTGCGGCCGCTAAATTTCCGGACAATTAAGCACAGCTCCATCACTTCCATCTGCCACGGCTCCGCATCCGAACCCGCACCCGCATCCGCATCCGTAAAGGCATTCACCACCCTGAGATGCGGCGGCGGGGTTGCGATCGAGGAGCCCTCCGCTGTAGTCAAATAACAGACAGTGGCAGCATGGTTTTATTAACAGTTCCCCGTTTCTGTGAGGTTTTTTGACTTTGTCGGAGAGGTTGCCGGAGACATCGCCCGCCGTGCGCTCGCAATCCGCAGATCGGACGCCACTGGGACAAACTCAATCCACAACCAACTCGAGGCACCAGACCAGCAGCACGTTCCGATGGGAATTCCATAGTCATTGTTCAGCGCCGGAATAATGGAACTACGCTCACTGAATGCTTCAATTCCCCGATATTCAAGGCAATCAAACCCGCTGGCCATTTCGCGCACACGACTTGGTCGCGTCGCCTTTCAACAACATGGTCATCCTGCAGGAGAGATATGCCAGGCGGCGACGGCGACGGCCCAATCCACACTCCCCTGGATCGGGTTGTCTGCCGAGCACAATTCAACGCTCAAACGTGATCCGCATATCGCATACAGGACTGCGGGGTTCGTGTCAAGCGACTCATTCATCACACACGCAGGTGTTGCCCATGCAGTCGTATCCTCGATAATCCGCAATTCGTGGTGGTCAGCGCTCGCTTGAAGGCGCTCAACCTTCCATGAAAAGCAGCCAAGGTCCAGTGCGGACATGCTCGGGTTCTTCTGYCAAAAGACCCCAAAGGCTGCGGCAAGCAGCATGCCCATCCGGTCGCGTGGGGAGGACCGCTCTTTGGCTTTTGTCTTGAGTACGCAGCTTCAGGAACACCAATCACAAAGCCACACTGACTCTTGCGCCGTTTGTGACCGTGTGAGACTATACCATAAAAAGGTCCGCTCAACGGCTCCAAAGCCTAGATCCTGAAGATCAGTTACTACAATAGGCATCCGGCTCAGCGGCGTCGATCTTCCACCTGCCGCACCCGTGAGCAGTCCGTGGTTTCAGAGCGGTGCCCCAATGGAACGATTCAAAGCCAGCATGTATCTCCAATGCTTAACCTGTTGATGTCCCTTTCTCCTATCGCCGCTCCGGACCACGACCTTTCAGCAACAGAAGTGAGTGGGAGTCCAGCACCGCAACGATCATTGACATCTTCTTGGATCTGCTTCGAGACCCTCTTGACCGTTGCCCACTATGAAGCTCTCTCTGGGTCTGCTGGTCTCCTCACTCGTGTTGTCGGTAGCTGGCCTTACCGACTTGGAACCACGCCAGTTTTCTAATTCATCGGTGCTGTTGGCAGTGCCAGACTGTGCTGTATGTTATACCAAGCGCTGCGGCTTGCACTTTGCTAACACATCTCAGGCTCGTTGCAGCCAGCTGGTGGCCAAAAACTTCCTATGCGACCCTGCAACGCAAAAATGCATTTGCGACCAACCGCAGCTCGAGGCGTCGCTACAGGCTTGTTTCATAGCCATTTGCCCACCTGTGGAGATGTACATGTCACAAGCCGTCTTTGCTGGAGTTTGCCAGCGACCCGTGCGCGACAGATCTGTGGTCACCGGGGCCACTACSTACACCCTGTATGGCATTGCTGCGATGTTCACGATCGCTCGTTTCTTGTCGCGTAACTCATTGTTTGGAGGAGCAGGGTGAGTCGAGGATGGAGCGAGTATTGATGTTGCTTCCATTGCTAATGCAGAGTCTGCTCTTCAGATACAGCTGGGATGATCACACCGCTTTCATTTGTTTCGCAGCAAGTACTGCCATCCTCGGTATGCTGGTGAAGGTCCAGGAGAATGGGTTCGGTCGCGACCTGTACACTCTGCCGGATCCCAATATCCTCGAAAACTTCCTCTTCGTATGTCCAATGATCAACTTTGGGTGGCGAATTTGCGCTGACTGATGCATTGCAGTGGTTCTACTGTGTCCAACCACTTTACATTGTTGTAACTTTCATCAGCAAGGTATCCATGGTGTTGCTCTACCTTCGGACTTGGCCATCAACGCTCCGCTCATCCTTTGGCATGATTTGCTGGAGCGCCATCGGTCTGCTGCTCACAACATTCATTGCATCTGTCTTTGTGACGATCTTTCAATGCACTCCGATCTCATACAACTGGCACGATATTGGGAACTCTACGTCACACTGCACCGATCGCGTTACGCAGGTGTATGCCACGGCATCGATTAACATCTTCTACGACATCATGGTGCTGTCCATCCCACTTGCGAAACTCATGGATCTTGACATCACCTTCCGTCAAAAGGCTGGGTGAGTAAACTCATCCTCACCAAATCATTTCAGGGACGAAATTAACACGACACAGCATCATGTTTGTCTTCTTGGTCGGTATCGTCGTCACTGTATGCAGTATCGTGCGACTCCGCTATCTCTCGGTCTTCGGCGCATCTCTCAACTTTACCTACGACTACTCCTTCCTCGGACTCTGGAGTATCGTAGAAGTCTACACTTGCATCATTTGTGTCTGCATGCCTGCTGCTACAGGTTTCTTCCGAAGAATTCACGACTGGGCAGCTGGACCCGACGCCGACGACGACGAGCACGATCTCACCGAGAGCTTTGACATGGAAGGCCATGGCCATGCGGAGATGGCCCACGAACTCGAAGACGGCTCCAAATTCAGCTCCTTCGCAAAGGGTCATGCAGATTTGGAAAAGGCAAACTTCAAGGGCGCGAGCGCCAACCGGAAATCCGTCACATCGCCAGCGCCTCTACTGAGCCTTGAGAGGAACTGTGCGCGATCTGACACAGCCCACAGCCGGATCCCGGAGCTTCGATACCGGGATGATGAGAACAGTATCTTCTTGGAAGTCACGCACGAACCCAACAGCAACGAGCCTGTACGGGCGAAGCTTTCCTACGTTGACCGGCAGGAGACGCTTCACACGATTGAAATCGAGGGGAAGCATCCAGATGCCGTGATTGACCAGTATTGATGTAACAAGACTTTGTGAGCGTAATGATGAATAAGAATTCCCGACTAAAAATTTCACTTCATTCTACACTATGGCTTTGTGTCGTGCTTTGCGGTCTCTTCTAGTTCCTCGAGGTCTGCCACTGCACCGTCGACGTCGTTGCGCACTTGCTCAACATCCTGGGTGAGACGACTGGGCGTGTGTTTGATCTTGAACGCCCAGATGCTTTGTGCAAAGACCTCGTCCATTTCTTCGAGAGTCTTTCTTTTCGTCTCGGGGAAAAAGAGGAAGACATGGAAGAAGGATGCGACGTTGAACAAGCCGAAGATGATGAATGTCTGGGAGAATGTCAGCCAGTTTGTTCTTCAGTAGCATCTTCTGCGCACGACTCACCCGCCACTTGATATGCTCAAACGCAGGTGGCGTGAAGAACGTCAAAGCGAAGTTGCCGATCCAATTCACACCCACGCCAATGGATGTGGCTTTGCTGCGAATGTATAGCGGCAAGACCTCTGCTGGGTATAGCCATCCGATAGGTCTGGAGTAAAAGTCAGCGATAAATCGAGAACTGGTAGATGGACGGAGATGTACCCCCAAGTGAGAGCATAGCTGGCAACGAAGAGATATGCGCATGCAATGATTGCTTTCGAAGCGGCCGAATCATCCACAACCCAGGTCACGCTCTTGACGTTGTTCAGGCCTCCTGGGACGGAGTGTCCGTGGACGGCCATCAACCCGGAAGCAGTGAACAGGAATGTGGCGAGCAGAGTGGAACCAGTCATGAGCGCCCAACGACGGCGGTAGCGGTCCATGAGCAGGAAGGAGAAGACCTGAACTCCCACGCTGATACAGTACTGGATCGATCCGGCGACAAGTTGGCGGTTGCCTCCTATGCCTGCCATCTGGAAGATGTAGACGATGTAGTACCTGTGCATCTTAGTCACCTCCGTACTTGACGTCGTGTTCGCAGGACCTTCTTACATGAGAGCATTGTTCCCGCTGAACTGGGACCAGAGATGAGCGCAGACAGCGCCTTGTGTTCGCATGATATTACGCGAGTTGAAGAGCTCCGACCAGGCCGTGCTACCGTACTCCCGCTCGAGGCTAGCATGGGTTAGCTTGTCGATGCAACGATACATTCATCAGCATCACTCACAAAACCTTCTCCTTGATTTCCTGGAGCTCAGCCAATACCAGCGGGTCCATGCGGTCTCCTCTTGCGTGTAGAGAGGCAAGCACATCATGCGCCTCTTCCCAACGATCTTWGCTCGCAAGCCATCGTGGACTTCTTGGCAGGAAAGAGATACATGATAGCATCACAATAGCAGGGATCATCTGTAAGGCCCATGGAATCCGAAAGGAGGCGTTGCTCTCGAGGAAGGACGTGCCGTAGGAGAGGAAGTAAATGATGAGAGTTCCCCATCCAATCATCCAATTCTGAAAGGTGATGAGTCGGCCGCGTCTCTCGGGCTTGCTGATTTCTGCAATGTAGAGAGGCCTAGAGAAGTGCTCAGCATAAGCTGTGAGAGAGATGGCGAGGTCTTACGCTTGACAACTGAAGATTCCAACCGCAAAGCCATTGATGATGCGGGATACAATCAACATTGGCACGTTCTGCACCGCGGACATGATCGCACAGCMAATGATGAAGATTACGCAGCCGATCGCAAGGGAGTCTCGCCGTCCAAAACGGTCGCCCGTGGCTATGGTTGCTGCCGAGCCCAGCAGCGAGCCTCCCGCCATACTGGCTGTGATACCGCCCTGTAGAACAGACGTGGGACTGTCAAAGTAGGTTTTGTACTGTCCATACCATCAGCTGAGCATTTTCTCTCCAGTATCTGTCAGAAGAATACAAACCTGTGTGGTTCCAATGACCGCAGACATGGAAGCGACATCGAAGCCCTGCATCATTCCGCCCAACGTCGCGAGCCCGCTGACGAGATAGACATTGCTGAACTGATATCTGGCTGCCATTCTGTCTACAGCCAATGTCGCGGTGTGAAAGGAAACAATGGACTTCACACACGTTCACGAGAGAATGGTACATCCCGCCTGTGCCACTCCACCCACATGCATCCCGCACGGTATAGCCGACGAAAGGGGCAGTTTCGACGCGGATCGCAGCACGCCATCTCGTGTGCGTTGGAGGAGGATGGGGTGTCGCGTGATGTCCCGAAAAAGACTGCAGGGTTCGGCTTGTCGGCTGGAAATCCGAGGATCTTTCAATGGAAGGTCGCGTCGGCTTCACCTCACTCTCTTCGCATCATCCACAATGCATGATGGCATAGAACGCTGCGGAATTGCTCATGCGACCAGTTCTGGATGTGTTAGCATGGCAGGCTACACGAGTCGGCAGGATATACGTGGGCCTCCGCAATGTCTCCTGTGATGAGTCTCTTGAGGTGATCTCCGATGCCTTCGAAGATGGACCTCACTCAAAATCTCCCGGATGAGCAGTAGGGGTATTACTCGACGCTCGCTCTTGAACTCTCATGGATCGAAGGATGAACGCGCAGGGCTGTCGAGTCGAGCATCTTCAACGGAGAACGGCGGACGAGACGGCATCACAGGCGAGGTCGCTGGACGATCCGAGTATGCGTTGATGCATTGTGATCTCCGACTCGGGCTCTTCCAGTTGAAGGCCTCACCATGCCTTTCGACGTAGTCAAGGTCATCTCGAGTTGGCGTATGACAATCTCATCCAAAAGATCATACTACAACCCAACGGCATCGGATGATTGAGTCTGCATTTGTTGAGGAGCACCCAGTTCCGGCAGATTGTGTGTCTGTGGGCCTTGTCTGCTGGATCAGGCGCTTCCAAAACACGTTCATTTTTCATCCGCTTCAGTTCAGCGCCTTCCAGACTCTCCAGCAGGCTCACCATATCCCCCATCAGGCGAGACGTCAGACTATCAAGTCAGTCATTAGGCACTGCCGGCGTGTTGAGGTGAATGTCCACTGAGGATGGTGCAATTCGTATCCCAGCCCGTGTGGGGGAGTCTGCGGATCTGGAGCGAGGAAATGTGTATTCAAGATAGGTGAGCATACCTTATCGGATTGGCGGGGAGGGGGCGGCGGGGTCCCCTCCGCGTTGCTTGCTTGCTGCCGCCCAGTGCTATGAGAATTGGCAAGGCGTGACTCAGAGTCAACCACCATAATTCGAATCAAGTATCGTCATTCCGTCACAACCAACCACAGCACGAACGACTCAACATGACTACTTCAAAGGCTGCCGCGAAGGCCAACAAGAAGTGGCAGAAGAAGCTGAACTCATTGGAAGGCGCCATGACCAAGCTCAAGAGGGGCGAGGATAGCCATGTACAGCTGTCCAGCCTCCCCATCTCACGTACCATCACTGGTGCGGAGACTCATGCAGAAAAGGTAAAACTCATCAAGGCCGAAATCAGGGATTCACATTGGGCGAAGTTACACGGAGATGCACTCACGGCCAACAGCCACGTAGCAATTGAGGGGGAAAAGAGAGCGGCTGAGGCCAAGCTCGCAGCGGCTGATGAGAAGAAGGCCCGCCGAGCTGAAGCGGCGGCAGCAGCAGCAGTCGCTGCTGCTGAAGTGGAGGCCGCAAAGTCACCACTACAGACACCTATTACCCCAATCCATCATATGCATCTCCGCTCGCACGCGCACAGCCCTGAATCGGCTCAATGGAAGCTTGTGGTTCCGCATAATCCCAAAGCAGCCAAGAAGACCATAGCTGCGGTCACGAAAGCTGATGCACCGAGCATGAGAGTCGCAAAGAGAACAGAAGGTCAGCAGCAGAACGGAGATACTAACCCCGGCGAATCTGAAAGCACGAGATGGCAGAATGAGTTACAGCGAGACCTCTGGGAGCCACTGGCTGGCAGCTGGGCAGACGACGTCCAGCAGAATGTCGACGGAGGCCCAAACGGTCTGAACGTGTCGATCCCATCGAAGCATGCCAACCTCGAGGTACCACAAAAGAAGACCCGCCGCCGGAAAACCAAGAAGCCAAATAAGAAGGCCAAGCTAGGCGTTCTATCTGCCTTAGCTGCACTGGCTGGCGAGTCTGAAAGCATCATCGAAGCGGAGGCCGAGCAGGAGTACGCACAGGTGAGCGGCGGAGGTAAATTTGTATTCTGCGGAGATCAGCTCAAGCTTCCGATTGCATCGCTCTATGGAACTCTCAACGAACAAACTCAGTTGGAGATCGAGGTCAACCGCAAGAAGCAGCAGCAGGACGAACAGCAGCGCGCTTCCGAAAGACAGCATTGTATCAACCAGCTGTCTCACATCTTTCCTGWCGATGCTGCGTTTGTCCAGCTCACGCTAATTGGATATGGCTGTCACCCGAGACTCTCGCTGCTCGGCCTGCCGGAGAGCATTCAAGAGCAGATCTATCGTATTGTGTTGGTGAAGGATGGTCCTGTTCGCATCACACCCTCGAGCCACGAGCAGCCGGCTTTGCTTCGTACTTGCCAGCAGCTACGCATGGAGACGTTGTGGATCTTCGAGATCGAGAACACCTTCGCCATTGAAGTGGTCGATAGCCAAGTTCAGGTCCCGAAGAACTACACTGCTCACTGGGCTCGCCAGGTGCTGTGCAAGTTGGAGACTAATGGAACGCCGAAGTGGGAGGGTCTCAAGAAGTGGTTGAAAGCGTACCACGAGGATGGAGTTCCCGGTCTCTGCAACAAGGATGGAGACCGTTCGATGCCGTGGGATATCTGCGCGCAGGCGTTTGCTTTGGTGATTAGTTTGAGGAACATCTTCCCTGGGATGACGTTCGAAGAGATGGAGCCGATGTTGAAGGTCTGGAAGGAGACTGTGACGCTGCAGCAGGTGGCCTGGTCGTGGGAGTGAATATCTGACGATTGTGGTGGTGAGAGTTGACGGGACAAACGGGAAGGACAAGCCGTCGAAGCGAGGAAGAGACAATGCAGAGAATGTGAGTATACCGTCTGATGCGAGGGCACGACATCAGACGACACACGGAAGATCCAGGTGTGGTAATAATTGTGAGCAGTGCGCGTGGGTTTGATGCGTGGGTGGGAATAAGCTGTACTTGAGATTGCTTAATGCTGAGGGCCAACCTTTGCTCGAGCACATAGACTTCCACGGAAAGATTAGGCATCTCGACAACTCTGTGCACATTGAGAATACCTCATCAAACCGCCTGCCTTGAATGCATATCTTAGCAAGCCTGAGGAACCCGGCCATCACAGGCCCAAACCCGAGATTCTTGACCCAAAACATCATCGTTGTTCTGCATCAAGTCTCAAGAGTTTCGACTGCTGATCGATCTGCGTAGGTACAGATCTGGAAAGAGCAATCCTCCTCCTCGGACGAGTCTCTCTTAGACTTACCCACAGTGCCATAGCCATTGAGGAATGGAAGCGCGCGCCGACTTTCTCACCGTTKTCTTCGCTGAGCCCATCCCCTTCGTGACCGCTATTCCACCATTCTTTGACTTGTTCAAGTCTGAACGGTTTCTTACAATTGCAGAGAAGGGAGCATTCCCAGCCAGTTCTCGAGTACTTACATTCTTCTGGGACAGTGTTCGTGAAGTATCCGTGTGTGATCAACGGACCGGACCAGTGAAGGCCGTACTTGTCGGGAAGGCTGGGTCGGAGGTTGATGATTTCGAGGGCGAAGTCGTTTTCTGCTTCGAAGATGCTTTTAGTCTCTGCGCGAAGCTGGCGACAGGTGCGCAGAAGGCCGGGCTGCTCGTGGTTGGCGGTAGCGGTGATTTCAATTGCTTCATCCTCGACGAGAACCATGCGGCTGATGCGGTTGCGAAGCTCACCGGGCATGCCCAGAAGGGATGCTTGTGGATGTGCGGAATTCATGCGCCGTTCGACTGTCAGTATAGACCTTCTCGAGGATTTCTGTAACATCTACCTCAGCTCTGTCCCGCATGAAGGCTGATGATCTGTGGCTGCGAGGTTTGGTGTGCCGGCGTGGCGGATGCACCGGCGTCGGGATTCTCGATAGCGACTCCATGTCGTATAGGGTGGTGTTGGTGTTGAGGAGTCGGAGGTCTGCGGATCAGATTAAGCGTGCGGGCTCCCAGGGAATTCATTCACTTTTATTCAACCTAATTCGGAGTTAGCGTAGGACCCTCGAATAGCTTTTGATGCAAATCCTACATCTAACCACTACTCTTCTTTCCGTGCACGACGTATATATATACAATGATAAGTGCTATGGAAAGAGAGGTGCGCGCACGATACAAAAGACAGCTCCTTGCTAGAGCAGCACGCATAGCTGCTTTGAAAGGCGCAAGTAGATCCCCGGAGAATCGCGGAACAAGATTTGTTGACTCCTTCTCATGTGCGAACATGTTCTGGCCCCTGTCAAGGAGCATAAAGAGCAGGCAACACTCTGAGTCAATCGTCGGATTCGCAATGAGGCTCGGAGGGTCTCCAAAAAAGAGACGTATATTCTTGTTAGAGTCTTCGACCTACGTCCGTACTACCCTCATGCAGGGCATTGGGCTACGGAAATCGGATACAAGCTGTGGTTCAATCCTAATGGTCGAAGGAATGCGTGGTCGGTGAGTATTTGCAGAAGGCTTCGATTGGCGTTCTGACGTTACAACCTGGGCGCTAATTCAGAGGAACCTCAGTCGCTGAGAGCAGTCGTCAAGGTGGTGGGCGGCTTGTTCGAAAACTAGCTTGGTTTGGAAAATGAAAAAGAAGATGAGTTTCGACTTGACTTGGAAGATGATGGGAGAAACGCTCGAACAAGGGAGGGAAAAAGTAGCATCTGGAGCTCGATTCTCTTAGAGCTGGTAGAGGACGGAGTGATGATTGTGCACGAACTGAAAGTAGGTTACGAGAGTGATACAGCGTCTCACGCCTTTGGTGAATCTGTTCCAAAAGCAAACTGAATCTCAAAGGCCGAAGTCGTCACGGAGGGGCGTCAAGAATGCGCGAGATACCTCTGGGGTGAATGTCGCGCTCTCAAGGCAACTAAGAAGCCCTTTAGGGATCATGATGCGCAATATCGTCGTCGTCCCGTGCATGTCTTCATCTTACATTTCACGATTTGGCGATCGGATCCGCCAACGGTGGAAACCGCAGATACCCAGGAATCAGTCTCCGCGGAGAGCGCTTCTCTCGATATTATCCAGCCGATGTGAAACTGCTCGTGTTGTTGTGTGTCCTCACACCGAGAACTTCGTCACTAGGAATCCACTTTGCCAAAGATGGCGGGAGAAGCTGTCGCTATGTCATCTTATCGTTCCTTCGTCTGCCTCTTCCTGCCCCTCAAAAATCTATACCCGAGCACACCCATGATGCTAACCCCACAAAATGCCGCCGCAACCTTGTAACCATACTTGTACGTCGGCGCCTCGTTGGCTGGCCAAAGTACCAACGGCAAACCTGAATTCCCTGCATATACCAATGCAACAGCCCAAGCAACGACAACAGCCCTCTCCGTAGCATCATCTTTACAAGTCTCTCCGATCCAAGCCATGAACAGACTTTCGTTACACCCTGTCAGGAAGCTCAGCATGAATGCAGCCATCTTGATCCCGAAACCAGAAGGCCATGCAGCGAGGATAGTCGTGCAGAAGAGTTGGAGCATATTGATGCCTATGGCGAGTTGCCAACGAACTTGCAGAGCGTCCGACAAAGAAGCAAAGATCAAAGCAGAGACGACAGAAATCCCGTAGCCTGCGATTGGGATGTTGGTGACGGAGACGGTTGAAAACCTCTTGTCGCCATTCGGTAGGAGGAGAGAGTCAAGCCAGAGGTTGAAGTATCCGATGGTTTGTTGCGACCATGCCCATGGTGCATACGCTAGGAAGAGCAACAAGAAGGAGAAGCTCGTCATGTGGCCGGCCACTTTGCGGAGAAGCGGGAGGACGGGCTGAGGAGTCAGCGTCTGCGTCTTCTTTCCGATCTCCGAGAGTCGAAGTTGGGCGGTAGCAACCAGGGATGGAGAGAGGTACCAGGATGTCAATGGATTTGGCGAGGAAGGGTAGTCCGGAACAACAACATAGCCGATCACAGCTGCGACGAGCGTCATGAGTCCATTTATGATGAAAAGCCAACGCCACCCTGGAAGCCCAGAAGTGTTGTCCAGAGTCTGGTATATGGCGGATTGCATTGCAAAGGTGAACATCGAGCCGATATATTGAGCGGAGAGGAACAAGGCCTGCCGTTTGGCCATCTCCTTTGGCGTATACCACGAAAGGAGCAAAATGGTCATTCCGGGCCAGGCACTTGCCTCGCATGTTCCTATCAGCCACCGTAGAGCGTACATGTGCTTGACATTGCTTGTAGCTGCCATACATCCGGTGAGAATGCCCCAAACCAGTTCCAAGCTCGGCAGCCAGAGGGAAGGACGGACACGCATCATGATCAGGACTGAAGGGACCATGAAGATTGCAAAAGGGATGCTGAAGTATGTCTCCAGCCAATTCAGCGCTTTCGTGCCACCGAGGTTGAGATCATCCCGCATGCCGGCTGTATAGGCAGCTTTGTAGTTGCTTTGGTCAATCTTTTTGATGATGATTGAGAGGCATGCCCATGGTAGAAAGATGAAGTCAAGCTTGCGAACCAGTCGTTTTTCGAGGGCTTGACGTGATGAGCCATGCTCCACATTCGGTTCCTCACCCGAGTTTGAGCTGGTGATCTCGTTCTCGGAGAGAGAAATGTGTTTATCTTTCGGAGAATCGGTGGATGGCGAACCGCGGATGTACGGCTCCGCTCCTACCTGGACCCGTGAAGCGTCGTGGCCAAAAATTGTATCCTCGTCTTGTGCTGCCATGATGTCAAATCTTTGGATTGGTTCAATATTGATAAAACCAGCAGAGGCAAGGTTCTATATCACGCCAGACGGTCTCTCTTTGCATCCTGTTTGGGAAAGATCCGCGATCCATCAAGGTCACTCGGGCGGACGCCGGGGTGAGTATTATCTGCAACACTTCCCGTTGGTTATGGGCGTACGCCGTCCAAGKCATTGGCGGCGGGGGTTAAAATCGCATGCCGTGTCGCTCTTCAAGCGCTTCAATCGCTTCAAGTCCTCAAGCAGGTGGAGTGGAGACTTATGGTGTCTTGGCGCCGAGACGTTGCGTTTCGAATGCCGAACATAAGGCCGGTGTGAATGAGCAAGTTTCCATATTGGAAATCGAGACGGGAGTTTCCATGTCGTAGGATGAAGTAGTGCGGTTCATCGTGACTCGTGTGGTGTAGTGTTCCTCGATGCGTCGATGTGGATGAGTATCCTAGAAGACCACGGCATGGCACGGTTTTGTTTAATCTGATCGAGACCAGCATCGATGAGGAGGCGCTGCGCTCCAAGGACGCAAGTGTCGGGGGGCAGAGAAAGACTGCCTTGGCCAGATATCTGGAGCAGCCCGCATTGGAGCAGAAGCGCTATTGGCATATACCAGGTTGCTCTCCACTAGATTGACGGATAAACTGCTAATCTGTATCCAGCRGGTCTGCGCATCGCCTTTCATTGTCAGAACAGGCTTCAGATACGGATGTCACTTCCGTGCGGATCCCCGAGCTTGGTAGTGTCTCTTTGCGTGGAATGCACGTCGCTCGATGCAAACAAGACGCCTCCGTCTTTTTATCATATGGAATGTGAAGAGGGAGAGCGAACAGGCTGGCGCCCTTCACACACACATCTCTCTCGGATAGACTGATCGAAAAGCTTTCCGGCCCGTAGTGGTTTGGACCATTCAATCTACTCCGGCAGGTCGAGACGCCGTGGTCGTGAAGTATGATGCTGTGAATAGCTCATACCCAGTGGGCTTCTCATGCTGGGATTGAACGTTAAAGCTGATGCAATCTTCGTCCTTGATTGTATTGTTGCGTGTGCTGTGTCTGGCCTCCGCATAAATCGATCGCATCGGACGTTGAACAAAGTGACTCCCTACGGTTGTGCCTCTAAGGTGGATWGGCCCWAAAGTTTGCGACTACCACCCTTGAGATCCTCTCAGTCGGCGGGGAGAACCGAACATTGGAACAAGGACCTCGAGGTGGAATTGTTCTCGATGGAAAGAGATGAAAGCGTTCAAATCCGAAGTTCCTCCACCTCGCCGTCCCTTTACCTTACCTACCTTAGCTTTGAGTCAAGGTTGGAGGGTCTGTGGGGGTGGCGGTGGCGGTGCTATCGCTCTCGCACCTCGATGATCATCAACGTCCAGAGTGTGTTTCCACCTGCGAGATCACCGTCGTAGCTGTTTCGGTACAACAGGACAAAGAAGCAGAAGAAGTAATTGTGAGAAGAGGTGGATATAGCACGCTCTTTACCGATCAGCGGCTACACCAACAAACCGGAATCGGACACCATAACACACCGAGAGCATCATCGAAGCAGCGCCCAGTCTGAGGCCCAGGCGCCAGCATCGACCATAGTCGACCATAGCCATCCCCTTTCACTTTCACCCTCCATTCCCGAGCGCATTCACGACCTCTGTTGTTGATGCGATAGTCGACCAGTCATCGCCAACGCCAACATGCGCGCCTCCGGTGCCGCCGCCCTCCTCTCCCTCCTCTCCACCGCCGCCACGCTCCCCGCACCGCCCAGCGAGACCCTTTCCTCGGGCCTCATCATCGAACACATCAGCGGGCCAGCGACATGCGATCGGCCCACGCGCAAACATGACAAGGTCGCCATGCACTACAGAGGCAGCCTGCTGTCCAACGGCGAAGAGTTCGATCAGAGCTACAAACGCGGCAAACCCTTCCAATTCGTGCTCGGCACGCATCAGGTGATTGCAGGATGGGATGAGGGTCTCATGGACATGTGCATTGGGGCAAGCAGAAAACTGACCATACCTGCTGAGCTGGGGTATGGAAGTAGAGGTGCACCTCCCCATATCCCGCCTGATGCTGTGCTGGTTTTCGAGACGAAGTTGGTGGATATCGTTGAGTTCAGCAAGGATAAAGTGACGACGACGACATCAAGAGTCGTGTCCACGAGCACGGAGTCCGGCACAACGACAACCGTGTCTTCACGACCTACATCGGCGCCAGCACCGACACGTACGCCAGATGTCGCGGAAGCAAAGAAACCGTCCGACGATACTGGACCTCCCCAACAAGCACAGTGCCACTTGCTGGGTCCTTTCGCCCTCGTAGCCCAAGCTGGTCTTGGGTTCCTCGCCCTGCTCATTCTTATTTGGAAACGCTGGCGCGAAGTCCCGAAACGGCCTTGGAAGATCTTCTTCTTCGATGTCTCCAAGCAAGTGTTTGGCTCCATGCTGGTGCACGTCATCAACCTAGCCATGTCGATGCTCAGCTCTGTAGACGTCGCCAGTGCTGCCGCTGTAGCCGCCGAGGCCATAGCAGAGTCATCTGACAAGTCGGATGGCAGAGTGCCAAACCCCTGCTCCTTCTACGTGCTCAACTTGGGAATCGATACCACGCTCGGGGTACCAGTGCTCTATGTTCTGCTGAAGTTGCTACACCGCATCTTCGCCTACACTCCCCTGGCAAATCCGCCGGAATCCATCAAGAGCGGAAACTATGGCCAACCTCCTCAGGTGGCATGGTACTTCAAACAGTTGCTCATCTACTGCATCGGATTGATTGGAATGAAGCTCTTCGTCTTCTTTCTCTTCATGGCCATGCCATTCCTCCCCTGGATAGGAGACTGGGCTCTGCGCTGGACGGAAGGCAGCGAGGCGCTTCAAGTCGCCTTCGCACTCTTTATCTTCCCCCTGGCCATGAATGCGATACAATACTGGATCGTCGACGGGTTCATCATGGACAAGAAGCAGGCAGAAAGTGGCCCTGAATATCAGAGAGTTGACGAAGAGAGTAGCGAGGAAGATACTCTGGTGCCTGAGGAAGTGGACGTACGTGTTCCCAGCAAAGATGACGGTCAGCCCATGTTAAGAGAAGTCGATCCGGAGCCTTTGGGCAGCCGATATGCGGACGAAGGAGGAAGTGGGAGGAGCAGGTAGATGTTCATTACATGAAGGGAGTTGAATTGTCACGCCTTTACGATGTAGTACGATGTACAGAATCATCCTGGATCACTCCGCCGAGTCCGCAGCATCTGACCTCAATCCTCGGCCTATGCGCCGTGCTTGGAGCCGAGAAGGATGTGACACTACTATGCACGTAGGAACCGCGAGGCTGCGATGTCTTTCTCGTCTGTGGTTCACACCGAAGCCAACTGCCACGTCACTTTGAGCTGGCATCCCAACATGCGTGAATTTGTAAGAACCAGCCCTGTCGCTGTCTAGACATGCATGGCTCGTGTAACGTGCTACCCGAGATTTCAATTTGCAGGGGTAACACGCGCTTGCCAGGGCATGACATGTGGCAAGGTGGAGACCGTCCGGCATTTGGTCGAGATCTGGGCTACAGCCGACAACATAGACCGCTACGTACGAATCATCATTTGGTTGCCGCCATCACGGACATGCGCGACACGACCCTCATCTTCATCCTTGCAGTGATTTCGCTTTATGGCTCTGACAGACGCGGGAAACCATGATTTCAAGGCTCGGCAGTGCCTCCAAAGGTGAAGTTCAATCTTAGTCCCGAGAGTTTGGTTACACCCGATCTAGAACAAATCGAGCTTCGATGGATCCTTTGGAAGGCACGCGAGCGCCGAACAACGTCCCTTTTCCTGTTCATCTTGCCACATTCGTGCACCTGGCCGTGCGCTGCGGACACTTGCTACCGGGCTCGGCTTATACAGTTGGGCGACGATGCGATGGCGAGGAATGTTGCGTCGGTTGCGGGTATTTGTCTGCTTGCAGTTACTGCTTGCGGCAGATGTACCTCGGCCTCTAGCAACGTTATGCGCCCGTGATTGGAGAGACACTGAATCGCGTCTTCCCGTCGCCGCGGTTGTGCTGTGCTAAGGTATCCTGTACGGCATACGAAAAAAGTCACATTGCGAACGAGATGATCTTCGTGGATCTCCAATGCTAGCATCGGCCGACGTAAGTATGTATAACGCTTCCTTTGTTCCTTTGCTTCTTTGTACATCATCTCCCCTCACTCCTCTCGCTCCCCCAGCACAGTATTACTATCCCCATCCTCCTCAACCCTCTCCTAATGCCTTCCCTGAGGACGAGCCTCCTCGCGGCCGCGCTCGCGGCAACCGTTCAGGCCCAGCGGTTCAACTACTCCCAAATCGCCAACACAACTTCGTCCGACTGTCCAGCACCAGGAACAGCCCATATGATAGTCGCCAGAGCCTCCGGCGAACCTCTCGGATATGGAGTGATTGGTCTCATCAAAGACCGCCTTCTCAAGTCTCTCCCGGGGAGCAATGCGGAATATGTCGTATACCCTGCCACCCTGACCGACTACCCCGGCWCCGAAACAGCTGGAGTCTCAGCCATGAAAGCTCTCGTGGAAACATACATCTCCAAGAACTGCGCGGAACCACTGGTATTGATGGGATACTCACAAGGAGCACACGTCACTGCCGATTACCTCTCCGGACAGAACGTCGTGGGATTCACTTACAATGCCTCTTTGACCGACCCTGCTCCAGAGAGCATACTCGACAAGGTCGCAGCAGTGACGATCATGGGTGACCCATCCATCAACATCACAAACAATCCTTTCCACGTGGGAAACTCAACAAAACCGGGCCTTTTCGAACGGGCTGCGAACTCCAGTGCTGTGTTGAACGGCATCTCGGGGAAGATTCAGAGCTATTGTGATGCGTTGGATCCTTACTGTGCGAGTGCGGGAAACTTTGACAACATCAGCGTTCACACCGGATACACGTGGGAGTACGGCCAGGACGCGGAGGACTTCATTCTGAGGCAGGTGAAGGCGTGGTACGAGCAGAGTGGAAGCGGGTCTGGAAACGAAACATCGGGAACACCGACGCAGTCTGGAGGCGGGGCGCAGTATACAGGTGCTGCGAACGCCATTGGAAGTGGGCTGGTGGGAACTGCTGCGCTGGTGTTTGCGCTTGGAGGTGCCCTCTTAGGCGGCTTGTAAATATGCATGATGTATGAGGCAGGAGGAGCATTCAATAAAGTAGGTACTTTGATGCACGAATCTTGATGACACCTTTCGTTGTCCACGCTCAATTTGATGCAATTAACGCACGACACGAAAAGCGCGGTCAAATTGCCTACAGTGAAGGCAAAAAGCAAACATCAAAACCCTCGGAGGTTCGTGCAGCTAATCCAGATGTGAGCGGGCATTATGGTGCCCATCGCTAGCTAGAACCTGGTATGAGCTTATGTCGAGATGCTGAATGTAGAAACGTTAGGGACGCCAACAAGAACGAAGCGATATGCTGCGAGATTCTTGGCAATGCCAAGTTTCACGAGTTAGTAAGGTAGCGTTGTATGGCGGTTTGTGGACACATTTAGAAGGTGGTCAAAAGTCAGCACGCGAAGAAAGTGTCGATATGTTGTATGTGCTAAGTCTGCAATTCACGAACTCAAGAGTGTCTCAATTCCTAGTGATGGTAAGCCAGTTAAAGGCCATTTTAAGCTCCTTTATTCACCGCATACTGTCACAGGTCTCCTCACTCTTTCTCTTGTCACCACAATCGGGAAAGATCAAAAGCCAAAGATAATCTGTAAGTGCCAAAGACTTCTACACTCCGAAAATATCGATCAGCTCAAGTCTGATACAACCACGCGGATGTATTTCGATGGGCAGAAGGCATAGAATGTCATGATCACAAATTTCTCATTGCGTTGAATGACTCAAAGCCGGCGCAGTAGCCGAACGAATCAGTTCATCCACGAAGACTTCCGGAACAAACGGCAGTCGATCCAACCTCATCAACCGCAAACCCAGGGGTAAAGGAGGTTGTTGGAAGTCATGTTTACTGAGCTTCCTCGCGAGAGCAGGGCCGTCATAGGCTTCCGCAGTGTCGTTGGAGCAGCATACGAGAAGCATGTATGGCTTACAAATGTTCATGACGAAACATGGTCAATGAAGGTATTCAGCAATCCTACCTCCTTCTCAGAACCTTGGATGGCCGCCTTTGAGGTTTTTCCTTGGCGCTTCATAAAGATCTTTCACCGTACGTGCCTACTACATATATAGACAAGGTAGGAACACCGTGGCTACTAACGGGTATCACACCTACACAGGGAAATCACGAAGCGGCTGAAAGGAGATAGCAGCAATCTCGAAGAAACACGTCCACGTTACCTGTCAGGTTGCTCCAAGCCTACTGACTTGACATCGAATGTACTTCAATACAGCAAAAGTGGAATTCTCCCCAAGAATGACCAATGAGCCGCCTCGATGGCCTTGTGTGAAGACAAATATCGAGCGCGACTTACGGAGAAGTTGGCATCATGACCCCCGTCAGAGCCACCTGCCCAGCTCTCCTCGAGAAGATCTGTGCACTGGGCTCTAATGCGTTCCGCCAAGATCTCTTGAAGCTCTTTCAGCCATAGAACTCAGCCCTCGGTAGGCGTCCCGGGAGAGAGTCACGTCAGGGGGAATCGCAAGCCAGAGAGGAGATGTTCTACCATGCGTGACTAGATCCATTGCCGTTCAACACACCATATTGCCAGGTTCCTGCTTCCACCTGATCCTGTATTTTCGAGAGGAACTTTCTCCTTTGTTGCCGGACAAATGAAAAGACAAATGAAAGCTATGCACCAGTCGTCTTTAAGAGCGCATATGTCGGCAGTATTTGAGGTTTGCTACACGGTCAACACTCTACATTCAAAAGGAGTGTTTGATGATAAAATTGAGTTCTAGAGGTTGTTCCATCAATCATCTCCGCTACCTCACAAGTTTGATGCATCTGTGAACCGTCTTTTAGACCGCAAGAATTTCCGCCCCGTCCAGATTGGTAAAAACCCGAAGCCATAGCTGGAAATCGACTTAAATCCAGATCAAGTGAGAGAGGCCAAATTCTTTTCAGGTCATCATAACACCCGGAACTCATTCTCATACCAGCAGAAATTTTCGATGTTGCGCTCACAGTCGGCTGGAGCGGCTCCCAGTCAACAACGACGTCTATCTGGAAGTTCCCACAGGCGTGTAAACTCCGCACTTGGCGATCTCCGCTCTGCAAGCGAAGTCAAAAAGTATGAAGCGAAAGTTGGAACTCATCTTGCAGCAGCAGTGATGATACTTAGGTATTTACCTGACAGGCACTCGGCTAACGTAGTGGAGCGCGTGGGACGTGCAGTTCTGGGGGAAAAAGCGCTCACGGACAGTATGCTTGAGCTAGATTTAGACAAGGTAAGAGAAGGACTTGGGCAATGGTTGTGGATAGGTATGGTTTTGTTGGACTGGACGTGGTGCTTATATGGGTACAATCGCAAATGTGGAGGAGAATCCGTTGCGTTTCAGTCATGTGTACGGTGGAACCTGCTTGCATGGCTGGTCGACAAAAACCCTATCTGCCAGAAATGTAGACATCTGTGATGCTCATCGCACTTGAAGTATGAGCAGGTTTCGATCGGGAAGATCTTGGGTTTGGATAGCGCTTTTCGTTCATTGCTATTCAAAGGCGACCGTAGAGACATCGTGTTCGCATCGAGCACTTCACAGTGCGAGCGTTTCGTTTAGTAACTCGGAGCGTTGAGGAACAGACCCATCGTGATACCACCAATAAGGCCAGCAATCGGGATCGTCATGACCCATGAAAAGAACAGCAAGCCCACACGCTGCCAGTTAACGGCCTTGAAAGTACCGTTCATCAAGCCCACACCCACGGTTGCCCCAGTAATACACATGGATGTCGAGACTGGAAGCTTGTACTGGGAGAAGATAAGAATRGTAATGGCGGCTCCCATTTCCATAGATGATCCACGGGATGGGGAATGATAAGTGATCTTGTTGCCCATGACTGTGCGGGATCGTTAGCGGACGCTTTGCAGTGACTGCAATCGGGAAATTCGTACCTCGCATGATGTTGTAGCCATAGGTCATGAAACCAATGCAGATGGTCAAGGCAATTACGGCGATTTGCCAAAGAGGAACATCGGCTTTAGCACCTACGGTCTCGCCAGTGCTCCACGCAGAGTACATGGCCGCCCAAACACCAACGGCATTTCCCACATCGTTAGCACCATGTGCAAAAGATGCTGTGCAGGCAGTGATGATCTGAACGAAAGAGTAAAGGTACTCAACCTCATTAGAGTATTTCGGTGCGTTGCTGTAGACGCGGTCCATGCCTGGGAAAAATCAGTCGATGGTCTCAGATCTGTGAGTGTTTGCCATCCCATCGCTTACGCTTTCCTTCCGGTGTACCCAAAACGCCAAGCTGAGACTTGTGGATATCGAAGTGTACACCATACAAAGCAGCAACAACAACCTGAGCAGGAAGGCGCTTGACGATAGCTTTGAGGTTGTGCAATTCGTAGACGGATCCAGCACCAAGACGGTTACGATGACAGCAGCGCATCGCCCACCCAAGAAGTCCACGGCCTTTACGGAGATCAGCATGATGCTGCTCGCGAGCCTGTGCCAGGAGAGCCTTGTATTCAGCATGAGTATGCTGAGGGGGCGGAGCACCAGACTCATCAGATCCGGACTGGCTGCCAGACTCGACGGCTCTCTGTTTCTCGCCAGTAGAATCGGCCGCAGATTCATCTAGGGTTGGGGGTAGCACGCGGTCTGCGTGCTCGAGACCGTGCTGCAACACAGCGTAGTTTGGGACTTTGGCGAATTCGGCGTCAGGGGGAGCTGGACGGGAGAAAAGAGCAGGGCCCAGGAAAATGTGGTACAGCTTGAGGGTGTAGTCTTTCTTAATGACCTTGGCATGTACGTATGGAACGAAAAAGATGGCTGCCTGAAGTAGAGTCAGCGAGAGGTAAGAAGTGTTTCTGGATACATCGTACCAATACGAAGAGTCCGAAGCCAACACCGAGGGTGACGGAGGCGATGTACCACGCAGGTTTGTCGGTCAGACCGAGTCTGGGAGATCCCTTGTACACGACGGATAAGGTACAAATGGTGCCTGCAATCAAGAAAAAGAATGGAGATGTCCAGACAGCCCACGGAACGGGATCTTTCCGCACGTGGACCGTGAGCTTGATCAAGAGGAAGATAATTGAGGCAAAGGCGGCGGAGCCGAGGGGAGCAAGAATCAGACCCGAGAAGATGGCGCCTGTGTCGTTGTCTAATCAGTGCCGTGAAGGATCAATACGTCCTCGGGTCATTGTGTGTCATACCGAGACCAGATCCACCACTCCATCCCCACTCAACGTTACGAGCTCCAACCGCAGCAACTCCGACACCAGCAATCGAGGAGACAAGAGAATACGTCGAAGACACATGGGCGGAGTTGCGAGTACACCACATAACCCAGATAGAAGCACCGGCGGCCGCGCAGGTGAATGCAAGGAGCTGCACAGGAGCGTTGCCGTTGAAAGCCGCGATCGGGATAATGCCATTTTTGATGGTAGAGGCTGTACGTGCGCCGACGGTGAGGGCACCGGTCATTTCGAAGATGAGACATAGAATCATTGCCTGCTGGTATGTGACCGAGCGAGACGACACACTCGTAGCCCAAGCGTTCGCGACATCGTCTAGGTGAGAAGATCAGCTGTTTGGTATCGAAGATGACGACTATCGTTGGAACGTACTAGCACCGTTGTTGTATGCTTCCAGTAAGGCGAAGAACGTGCCAATGGCGAAGACATAGGTATATTCTGTAAGCATGATGCCAAACCTTGCTCACAGAACAGCAGACTTCAAGCAACTGGTCGAAGGTCTCATGGATGCTCGAACAAGGAGCTGGTATATATCTCCTAAGACTCGTCGTGCCTCCAAGCCACACAAGCGAGACGCGGCTTCCACTACGACAAGGGTAGCGCCWAGCTTCCACTAGCATGATGGAAGTCATGGCGGAGAAGAACACTATCCAGTACTATGCACGCCTCTCATTGTGATGCCGACGTCGCCAAGTAGATAAGGCCCTAGTGTCCGAATCGTCTGAATCTACACGGGTCTCCGCTCGGGTCAGCATACGAAAACAGAACCCATGCTATAACGGAGTTCTTGGTGTTTAAGATTCGAGGCCAGTAGGAGCTCGGCGAATTCCCACGTGTGCATCGGAGCACAACCACGCCATACAACGGAGCTTTCTTCGAATCTTGCCCTAGCATCAAGAGACTGAAAGCGCTTGTCCTTAAGAAGAGTCCAAAGCTCTAGGCGTAGTGTTGACATGCTTACGTCGGCGCTCACCTCCGAGACCACGTGCGCTGTATCTTTGTTATGAGGCGCGGGCTTTGTGGAAAGTTTCTTTGCCTCGATATGCCAAGGGCTGCTATGTCGTAGTTCCCTGTCGTTAGGCGCGGACCGTTTCGGAGATGCTATAGGTAGATAGGTGCGCTTTGTGTTTTGGGAGGGAGCGTCGGAGTTACCACTTGATAGCACATTGCTAGTGCTGCTGCTAACGAGAAGAATTGGTTTTAGAAGAAAAGCGCGAGAAGTATGTATTAATCATCATTTCGGTCGCTCTACTCTTCGTAATCGCGGACGACCCCTCTGGTACTCTTCGTCCTCGTTTCCTACTCCTCCTCCGCGCTTGAAATTCCCTAAGCGACGAGAGTGCTAGCCGTTTATAGAGAAGTGCGTTTAGGAACGAAGACGAGCTTGTGTTTGTCCTAAATTCGATGGACATTTACGCATAGCAGAATCTGATTAACGGCTTTATTAATAGCAGGGGATGAGCCTATAGTCGGGTCGCGAGAGTACTAGTACATATAGTTTATAGAAAACTACTCGTCCTCGGCCTTCGGGATAATGTAGGCGACTTCTTATACGATCTTACTACCGCTTATAAGGTAGCTTAGATCCCGCGTAATAATTGAATTTATGTTACCGCTAGGGTCGCCGCCGGTAGGTATTTTAAGATTATTCTATCCCGGTATGTTTATCTCTAGTAGCGGAAATCTCTATAATCGAAATAATTATACGATGTAATAGGCGAAGCCCTAAGGCCGAAGTATAGGCGTAGCCTATATAGAACGCTTAGTATCCGCGTACTTTACGTCGGAATCCGCGGAGGATAGTTCTCTTCTCTATCGAACTTATTTAACTAAAACCTTACTTAAGCTCCTATATATACGTTACTCGCCCGTAATATTAAGTTCGATCGCCTTATAATAACTACTCCTTCGGATTAGGATACTAGAAGGAACTTCCCGAATAACGAAAGTTTAGAACGGGAAGTACCCGTAGAACCTACTATAGAGCTACGTAGAGCTATAGAATAGATATACCTTAAGTAATAGGCTATAGAAGCCGAGATAAGCGCTACGCGCGCTACGCTAGAACGCGCGGGATCCGAACGCTTAGCTAACGACGATATCCCTATAAGTATAATAATACGGAACCTTATAGAATCGGTATTAGCGCTAACTTAAGCGGGTTCCGTACGGGAACCGTTAGGACTAAAGGACTAGAGACCGCTAACCTAAGATAGTAGAGCCGATACTTTTAGGGATTACCTTCTTAGGCTAAAAAGCTCCTACCGAGTACGTTCCGACCTTAAGCTAACGCTCTCCGCGGACTACTACTAGAACTCTATCTACGATACCCTCCCGGCTAGGGAGAGAGCGAGGATACGCTACTTCTAGGAAGCGGGGCTAGCCGTAGAAGCGACGGATCCCGACGCTTTCTTTACGTAAATCGAGAAGGTCTTCGGGGATAGTAACGAGAGAGTAAAGGCCCTAGAATAGCTTATAAGTCTTAGATACTCCCTTAGCTAACTATAGCACGATTACTAGCTAGAATTCGACGGACTCCTACTAAGTACCGGCGGATAGAGCTAGGCCGACGATATAAAGATCGGATACTTAAAGAACATCTTCTCGAACCTAGTATATACGTATACGGCCTCTATATAGAAGTTAACGGACTACTACGACTTCGTAGAGGAAGTAGAAAGGATTATAACTAACCTCGAGGAGATAGACTAGTTTAAATCCTTAAATAAGAGGTAGAGGGAAAAACACTCGGATAGCGGTACTACTATAACGGTTACTACTCGTTCTTACTCGGGACCCGCGACTTATCGCGTCGACTTTAACGGAGACGTAGTAATAGCCCCTACTCGACCGGGCGGAAACCGACTAAGAACTAATAGAGACCGTAAGGAAAACGGGAAACGGCGAGCTAAATAGGTAACCTAGGCGGAGCGAGATAAACGCCGATAAGTAAGGCTCTACTTCCGTTACGGAGCGAGCGGACACCTAGTAAAAGATTACCTATACGCCCTAGCTATTCGCCCCGCGACGTAGATTAATATAATAGCCGTCGGGCTAATATTAGAGTCCGACTACCTACAATCCACTATTAGGATTAGGTCAATCCTAATAGCGGCCTTATACAAACAAAGTTAGGGTTGCGACCCTAAAGGGGTCAATCCTAATAGGTTAATCCTAATAGGTTCCCTTTATCGTATATTTCTAACGTTTGGACAGCTTCGAGTATATCGTAGAATTATAAATCCGCGAAGTATCTAAGTCTAT